CTCCCAGCAACGATCTGAAGTCTTCGCCTCTACTAGCACGCCGATTGATTCCGCCCAGCTCTCCGATTTAGGGAAATTTTTTTCGGAAGGCGAAGCTAGGGTTCTTCGTCTGTGTTTCGAAGTCGAGGGAGAGGGGAAATGTTGAGAACGAAAAGAGTAAAGGGGAGCCCGATCCGGTTCGTTTTTGCTTTTAACTTTTTTTTTCCCCAGTAAATAAACCACGTCGGCGACACGTAGGATCTTATTAAGCGCTGACTGTGCGTTGAAAAATCGCACAGTTATGTTTAACGGCCCAACTAACGGAGAAGACTTTTTATTATACAAATGGCATTTCGAAAACGATGTAATATAAATGGCACTTTCTCTAAAGGATGGTATTTCCAGTGGTATTAACCCTTTACATAATAAATAAAACATAACAATCAACACGTAGTTAACGTTTGACATAAATATATGCAACTAATACAATTATTTTAGAGTCATTAAAAGTAGTCACCTACAAAAATATCTGTGAATGGTATGGAGTTAATGAATTGGGTGTCTCTATGCGAATTGACTTAGTCTCATGGCAATAATCGTAGTGTGAAAAAGTCATTCCCTTTCAGGTTATCAAAATGCCCTTGAGAATAAAAAATAAATCTCTTATCATAGAAAGGGGAAACAATGGAAATCATCCATAACCAAAATTCAAATCTCAAATGGGAATGATCCTTGGCAAATCAACAAAAACGAGCATCTGTCTCGAGTCTATACTAGGAATTTCATTAAGAAAAAGGAGTCATTGGTGAAACTTTCTCGGCCACTAACCTTCTGACGACATCCTGAGCAACAATGGTGTCCCAGCGGTCGATCTGTGCATTCCTACTCCCTAATAGCTCATGAGTGTGGGTGCGAGGTCATTCTAGGTGCAATTTATCTTAAAATAAAGTGATAACAACTCAATGACTTAGAAGGGACGAAAAAGAACTAGAATACACATGATTAAGAAATCTTATTTAGCTTGCTTGAAAAGGGGGCTCGGCCTCAACCTAACTAGCGTCACTGTTAGGCCACCAAAACACGATCAACTTGATAAACTTCCCCACAATGAGAAGGAAACATGATAAGATTGATAACTTGATAAACTTCCTTACGCTAGGAAGGAAGATGATTGTGTGTGCAACTAGTTAGTTGAGTTTTAAAACGTGATCTTGCTTGTTAACGTGCCACAAGCATTAGGTTATTTATCATGATACCTTGAAACTTAAACATGGAAACCCAGTAAAACATGCATAATCGAAAGCATAAGGAAGTTTATCAAGACTTCCGAAGTCAACCCACCGGTAAATCTATGGCGAAAACCAGAGTTAGATTGGTGGGATTTTCAGGTCCTACTGAAGATTTCTTGACTTGAGAGTACTTTACAACATTTGCAAAGTGTTGGCCTACTAATTTATTATTAACTTGGATTTCTAATTCCCAAAATCTCTCAACGTATTAGTGGATTAAGTTGTCTCCAACTCTAAGAATTATACCAATTTATTATTTTAAGGAAATTGCTAACTAAAGATTGAAAGTATGCTACGGAGCATACAATCCACTAAATCTCTTCATTCAATTTCAATTAAAGAAACTTATTAGGATATTTTACTAGGGAAAACAAAATAACAACACATTGGTTAATTTATGTACCAATTTATTAAGCCACAAGCTAAACGAAGATCTAGATCACGTTCATTGCGAGATCTAGATCTAGACAAGCCTTGGTCGCGAGATATAGACAGCCTTAGTCGCGAGATTAGACCACGTTGGTTGCGAGATCTAGACCACGTTGGTCGCGAGATCTAGATAACGTTAGTTATGAGATTTGACCACGTTGGTAGATCTTACAGCGCTGATCGTGGTGGAGAGGAGGCAAGCACCAAGACTTTGACCCCAACAAGAGAGAGACGCCTAGGCAGTTGAGGGAGCAATTGCCACTCATCTCACATTTGAAGACACATCCGAGGAAGAAGGGAACAGTTCTTTTGGAAGTTATCAAGCAAGTAGTTCTCTAAGGCAGTTATCACTCCATGTCTATAAATAAGATAAGGGGTGAACAAAGACAAAGGTTCCCAAAACTACACAACTGACGCCTATATCATGTTTTTATATTTTCTCTGCAAATGTAGCCATAGTCGTAGTGTGGAGCTCTCATTGAACCTCTATAGGAGTAGGAGTAGTTTAACTTAGTTTTATTCCCAAAAACCATCAATCAAACACCCTCGTTCGAACTTTGTTTAAAGAGGTGTGAGTCGTGTCTTAGCAATCGTTGTCCAAAGAAGTCGGGGTGCAATTAATCTCAATTCAACGCAAGTTTTCTCATCGAAATTTTTTTTGGCACAACTGATGGCCATGGGACATTAATTGTGTTTGATTTGATAGCTCCAAGACAGAGGCAACAACAAGGTGATCTCTATCCTGCGTTTGTGATGAAGTAAGTGCCTAAGTTTGAACTTGGACAGGGCATAAATGATGTTGGCGGTAACAATGACATGGTGAAAACTTTTCCATGGGCAGCACCAAGTGTTGATATAACCACCAACATCTTGTTACTTCACCAGATAGAGGAGGAAAACCGCAAGATGGTGGTGGATAACCATCATGCCTCGGAGGAGAACCACAGGAGGATGGTGGAGACCCGAAAGTCTATGAAGGAGGCAATAAATAGCAATGCATGTAAGGTAAGCTCTCAAATTGAGTCTTTCAATTCTAATTTAGACAAGCATCTACATCAACTTGTTGAGTTGTTGGACAAAAATAGAAGTGATTTTAGTGAGTTGACACAATTATTAACTGAACGAGTGGTCAAATCAATGTCTTTACCACTAAACGGTAAACATCCACCATTAAACAGTGTTATTTGGAGTATAGGCTCTCTAATTGGTGATCAGAATGACCAACTATGACATGAGAGCTTGTCAACTCCAGTGACAAGCCAACCACCCACTCAACTTGAGAATTTTGGTGAGAGGTCTGCCTCCATGTTCAATACACGTGATGAGGTCTTGCATGTAGATGGCGATGTCCACGCACTCGTTCTTAAGACAAAATCACATGAGACGCCTGTCAACGAATGATTTGGAGAAGATCCATTCAACATGGACCAAGTACCACGACATGCTTGCCACCCCCAATGCCTCCCCTAGTGAGTAGGCAAGGAGCATATTCTGATGGACTCCAACCACCTAGAGTCCAGCAAGGGGGCATGCTCAATTTAAATAACATTAATTGTTATAATTGATCTGGCCTTATAAAGACAATAGATGCCTTGTAATTAATCAATGTGGTACACAATAAATTTTTAGGTGCAAACATTTGGCCATGGCTTCCGCTGACAGGAAGCTTGAGCAACAACTCAAGGATGAGGGGACAAGCTTCTTCAGTAGATGATAATATCAATGGGAAGTACGACTTCCAACCGCATCCACCTCGTCTCTTCCTTTCTTTCCCTCTTCCACACAATAAGGTTCTTCCACGATGTCGTTTACGAGAAGAAAATCCCAATTCCACGATAACCTCCTTTCCTCCTTGCTTCCGTCGTCACTGCGGGAGTAGTCGACAACGATTTCGAAGGCACCAGAGTATTGGCGGGTTGGGGAGTGGATCGACAGATATTTTTTTTATTATTGTTCTTTCAATTTTGGATTTTCAATAATATTGTTTAGTAATGTTCTTAAATTTTTATTTTTAAATTTTATTTTGAATTAAAATGATGTGGCAATGACGTGTCGTCTGCGAGGATGCCACATTTTCTGCCACGTCAACAATAGTCAATATTGCTGTGACCGTTGTCTGGTTAATCGTTATCTCTAACGGTCAACAAAACCATCCGGATGTAAATGACACAACCTATCATATGACGGGATAATAATAAAATATTGAATACAATACGACACAACTAGCATTTTTGTAATAATTCGGGTGTTCTAGTGATATTAGTCCAAAGATAAATTAAAATAACATAAAGAATTTAAGCAATAAAATCAATTGATTAACATGAAATCATGAATAATAACCATGGTTGTCATGTCGGTGGCATGTTGGGCGGTTGCACCTGGTTCAACCGGTGATCTTGAAATCGGTATAAACAGTACCGGTATGACCGGAATGATCAATTTGCAACTCAAAGTAAAATGACATCGTTTTAGTAAATTTGATTGACAAAAGGTGAATTTATTGTTTATTTTAAAAACATAAAAGTTAAAAGTTGATGTAATTTGTTGGATTCAAGTATAAAAGTTTAGATATTAACGTTAAATGTTGTATGTGAATATAAATATTTATTATTTTATTTGAAATGTCGTACTTTATTAAGTCGACATAAACTGGTTGTACCATTCCACTCGAGAAACCGATGCAAGGATATATACCGGTTTCGGTTTGACAACGTTGATAATAACTAAAACGCAATCAGCCGAGTACAAATCTACTATTGTTCAGTAGTATAGCGTATACCCTAGGGGACAAAGGGAAAAGAGACCGGAACAAAGAACACGAAAACAAGAGCATTACTGGATCCTAACTTGCAACGAGGGCTTCCTTCCTTCACTACTGTTCAAAAGCCAAAAAAAAAAGAATGAACTCCTTTCTTCTTCCTGGTCTGACCGGCCACGAATAACCAAAAAAGTAGGAGGTCCCAGAAGGTTCCAGACTTCCAGTTGGCACTTGGCCGCCACCTGATTCCTGCGGTCTCCTGCCCCCTTTCTTGAACGTGGTGTATCAGTCGGTACAACCGAATCCAACCGGTACTTATTACAAAATTGGTTGAAATGTTTCTAAACTGATTGATTAAATCAATTAAAAAGAGATTTTCATTTGTTTTTTAAATTCAAAGTTAAAGGTTGATGTTGTATGTCAGATTCAAATATGAATGTTTAGATTTTTATGTTATTTGTTGTATTTAAGTATAAACTTTTCAATGTTAGTATTAAATGTATTTTTTTTTATAAAAAGTGCATGTATGCTTTTTATTTAGTCATGAGAAGAAGTAGCATTACAGTCCCTCAATAATTGAGGTATAAGGAAAACGAGTGGCCGGTCGAACCAGATCTCGGTTTCTTCCCATCTACAATTGATTTGGGCAATTTGATGAGCTGCTTCATTTCCTTCCCTTCCCCAAAATTGTCATTCAACCTTCTTCCCCTGGATCCTCTCCCTTATCTCTTCACACATAATACCAATTTCCAAGTTAATCGCCTCCTTCCCCTGTAATTTGTAAATAAAGTTTTGGCAATAAGTTTCCATCATTATTGGGCATAGTTGATTCTACCGCATAATCTTTAATCCCCAGAGAAACGCCTCCGCTTCAGCCATTTCGGGTTGCCAACTAACCCGACTTCTTCCTACCGTCGCCATCACAAATCTCCTCTCCCTATCACGAACCACCATTCCGGCTCATGTTCCCCCATCCTTCAGCACACTGGCATCTACATTCGCTTTGTAGCCCATTGCCGATTTCTCCTACCTGTATCTTCGACTTGTCTGCGCTGGCGTCACATCCCGGTCATGGGCTCTTCAATATTCATCCAGGCAATGCTGAGCTCTCTCTACAACCTCCCATTCCTCCAGCTTCTGATTGTTGAATTGTTGATTGTTTCTTTCTTTCTTTCCAAATGAACCACAATGTAATTAGAAATTCACAGATTTCCTCATCCTTTGCCTGCTCCAGTAGTTAACATATCCAATTAGCACAATCTCGATCTTCTCCCATCTCGAACATCTTGCTAAGATAGCTAGGTCTCCAGATTCTTCCCACCCAGTCACAATCTCGTGTTATATGTTCTTGGGTTTCCACTAGTCCACAGAACGGACATTCATCACTTGCTTCTGGAATGCGCTTAGCTAGGTTACTGCCTGTAGGTAAAATATTCGATCCCCATCTCCATACAAACACCCTCACGTTTGGTGGCAGTTGCAACTGCTGAGAGCCTAGGCCTGTTGATTGGTTCATAATGTATTCAAATATGATGAATATTCATTTTGTTTAGAATTTTGTATTTTATTCAAATATGATGAATATTCATTTTGTTTAGAATTTTGTATTTTATTCAAATATGAATGTATATTTTAGAAAGGATATTCTTAAATACGTTATAGATATCATATATGCCTAAATTTGCTTTACTGTTGATGATTTTCTACTTCTGCACATTTTTTACTAAAATCAATATGAATTGCATCACTAATCGGACCGTTCCAGTTGCAATCGGGTTGACAACCATTGTTGTCCAGTCTGGCAGTCGCCTCTCCTTTATTCTCCTATTTTGCTTTTTTTTCTTTTCTTTTTTTACTTTTACAGGCGGGCAGGTCTGGGCTGGGCTGCCTCGCTTCCTCCACCCCATACCAGCTATTCTTCCATGTGCCATCATCTCTCTCTTTGCCATGGAATTCAAGCAAGAATCCCGCTTTCACCTTTCTTTTCTTCACGGCCGTCGCCACACCCGCCATTGATCTCCTCAATTCCGCTGCGGCTGCTGCTTCTCCTCCTTATTCCGGCAGAGCCAACCTCCCGAAAATCCCTCCCAGCTCCCTCGGAAATCCGTCCAATTAAGCAGAGCAGCAGCATAATCGCCTTCAGACCCAGCGCACATCTCAGCTGCCATGTCCTTCTCCTGCGGGCTGGAGTGCGTGCTGGTGCTGGGCTGCGCTCGCTGGGTCTGGAAGCGCTGCACTTACATTGGTTCCGACGACAGCGCCACCTGGACTAACGCCACTCCCGACGAATTCGAGCCCATCCCTCGCATCTGCCGCCTCATCCTCGCTGTCTACGAGACCGATCTCCACAACCCTCACTACACCCCCGCCGGCGGCTACTGTCTCCAACCGGACTGCGTCGTCAAGCGGGTGACCTACGAGCAGGCACAGGGCTGCTCCACTCCCTACATAATCTACCGCGATGACGAGCACAAGGAGATCGTTCTGGCCATGAGAGGCCTCAACTTGGCCAAAGAGAGCGATTACAAAGTCCTACTCGACAACGGGCTCGGCAGGCAGATGTTCGACGGCGGCTATGTCCACCACGGCCTGCTCAAGTCGGCCATTTGGGTGTTGAATCAGGAAGGAGACACGTTGAGGAGGATGTGGGAGGAGACGGGCAAGGAATACACCATGGTTTTCGCCGGCCATTCGCTGGGCTCCGGCGTGGCGGCTTTGTTGACTGTGATTGTTGTGAATCATAGGGAGAGATTGGGTGGGATTCCGAGGGACAAAATCAGGTGTTACGCAATTGCTCCTGCTCGGTGTATGTCACTTAACTTGGCCGTTAAGTATGCGGATGTTATTCACTCCGTTGTCTTGCAGGTGAGGGTTACCCAGCCGTACCATTCTTGCTTTGCTGTGTCTTAATCAACACTTGTGAAGTCGCAATGTGCTCTTACAATATCGGAACTATAACTGGCTCGTTGTAATGTGGAATTAAGTTGGTTTAGTTGAATTGGATGGATTCAGTTCAGTGCTTACATTAGGATGCCAACTTGGCAAGTGTCTCCATTGCTCTCGAGGGTTTGTGTTGTTTCATCCTCTGGTCACATACGCACGAGGCAATGTGTTGACATGGTGGCGTGTTGTTATTAATGCAGGATGATTTCCTGCCGAGGACTGCCACTCCTTTGGAAGATATTTTCAAATCAATCTTCTGGTTGGTACTTTTCTATCTTGGGATTCTTTGCCTTTTGGCTATGTTGTGGTTCAATTCCTCCCTTGTGTATACATAGTGGAGTGAATTATCACTATGATCTGTTAAACCCAGGCATTGATGCTTTGGACAGCTTGCCCTGCCTACTGTTTTTGGTTTGCTTGAGGGATACATTCATCCCGGAAGGTAGAAAGCTCGGAGACCCTAGAAGGCTATATGCACCTGGAAGAATGTATCACATTGTGGAGAGGAAATTTTGCAGGTAAGGTATTTGGATTGTCCATGTGCTCTATCTGTGTATTTGGATGCGTTGTGATATTTAATTCACGTATAAGTAGGCTTACCAAAGAAAAGTCCATGACCTTGAAGTCTGGGCAAGTCTTGTATAGTCAAATTCATCTTTTCACTGCAAACCACAGGCTAGTTAGCATAACCAAGTAAGCGTCGTGTTCGTTTGATCTACTTACTGTGTTTCTGATTCCTGTGGTCGTACAAGCCATTGCTCTCACATTGCTTGTATTGCAAGAACAACCAAGTTGGACACTGACCAGCTTGCAGCAGTCTCTGCAAGCTGCAATCCATTTAAAACACATGTATATACTTGGATCAACTTCAAAAAATCAAAATCCACTGTTATTATTTTTTATTAAACTATCTTATGATTGAAGTTTAGAGAATCAGAATTTGTGGTTTACCAATTAGAGATTGGGGTGTAGTATCATCACCCAACTGTACAATATACTCAAGAAGTACGTGTGTCTACCATAAATTGATGTCTGCCTTACAGGCTTAATCATCGCACAGACATGTGTTATCTTAAAGTTAAAACTAGTGTGCTGCCGTGCAGAGTAGAGAAGTAGTGGTGTGTTTCGCTTAACCTGTGCATCTTATCTTTCTTATCATAACTCATAGGTGTGGGAGGTTTCCCCCAGAGGTGAGAACTGCCATTCCGGTAGATGGGAGATTCGAACATATCGTGTTATCATGCAATGCCACTTCAGACCATGCAATTGTTTGGATTGAAAGAGAAGCGGAGAAGGCAATAAACGTGAGCTTAGCCACCCACCTCTGTAAATCTATTTTTTGCTTGTCTGTCATATTTGCATATGTAGTATGGTTGAAAGCTATATATATATACTTGTTTTGGTGCTGCCTTTCAAAAGTGTAGTCATTTTCGTGGGTGTTTTGGGCAGAGGATGAAGGAAGCTATGGGTGAGAACATGACAACAGCTCCAAAAGCACAGAAGATGGACAGGATTCAGACACTGGAGAAGGAACACAAAGATGCACTGGAGAGAGCAGTGAGTTTAAATGTACCACATGCTGTGAGCGATGCCGAGGCAGAAGAAGCAGATGAAGAAGAAGGGGAAGAAGCATCGGATAGAATAGGCGAAGAGCAGTCCCAGTCCCAGACCCGAGAGGAAGAGAGCGTGGAAGCGGGTGGGAAAACCAAGTCAGGGAGAACCAACTGGGATGAAGTTGTAAAGAAATTGTTCAAGAAGGGTGACTCTGGTGTGACAACTGTAAATAGGGATATAGGAATTACGGGGGCCAGATGACACCATAAGAAACTTTTGCTTTGTTAGCGTCGACTGCCTGGTCTTCACTGATACTCTTTGTTTGTTCTTTCTTTTCTTCTTTGCTTGTGTTGCGTCTTATTCTTACGGGATGGCGAAGTGGGGACTGTCTTCACTCAGCGTCTTGAAGTTTTTTGTGTAACTAATTAGTTCCGATTGGTAAGGAAATGTCAAGAAATTTCAAGGTGGTTTCACTAATGTGTTGTCTTGGGAGACATCCTGGACAGGCCTTTGACCTTTCTATCTATTTTTATCACTTGATTTTTTTTTCTTATTGAAAGTGATCAAAATTCAGGAAAAATAATATTATTTAATGTTCAGCAGAATTTATGACTTGTTTCAGTCATTTTTTTGTTTGATTCCAATTCAGGGTACAATTTCATAAGTCAGATTATGATGTGCAACGAGCTGGACTAAATCATGAGAACTTTGGTTGAATAATTAAAAGAAAAATTAGGATTAAGAACTGGATCATACTTATGTTTAGTTTTTTTTTTTTTTTTTAGTATTTGTAAAATTCATGAAATTAAAAACTCGATCATATTATATTCGATGCGGTTCCAACTTGTCGATTTGGTTTGCGCCAGACATAATAGTTGAACATCCCTAACGTCAACTATAAACAAAAGTTTCACCCAGCAATTTGAAATGACTCGTCATTCCATTTTGATCTAGTCTTACTCATCACGTCTCGTTTTTCACCTTTTCTATTATCGAATATATCTTGAATTTTCACATTTCGTTTTCTTTTAATCATATTTTAAGGTTTAGGTTCTAATACAAAACTCTTTCTATTTGTATTAAAATCAATTTTATTGGGGGTAATCTGAGAATGAGTAATCTAATGATCCATATCATAAACGAGCAATGAAGAAAATAAAATATTTAGTACAGAGTTGATAGGACATTTTAGATAGTTGACTGGATTTGTGGGGATGGCTCGAATTGTCAAAGGGGTTGTTAAAGCACTTTTCAAATCTTATTCTAAAATTCAATTGACCATATCTCATTTATTTTACACTGAATTTGAAAAAAATTGTGTAAATATATCAACTTTTTTGTGCTCTTCAAGATTATATCCATTATATATATTTTTTAAACAAAAAAATCCATGTCATCTTACCACTATCATATTACGAATATTACCACTGACAATGATATTATGATGCTATTAGTTTTACCATAATGGTAAGATTATGATATGACTGGTGAGATGGGTATTGATATGATGGTGATATAATGTTGGTATGAGGTCACACTTTTGACAAAAAATTTGATGGCATCGTATTGCTATCATATCATCTCGTATTATTACTATACCATAGTGATGATATCATGATTTGACAGCGGCTTAGTCTCACCATAGTGGCAAGATTATGTGTTAAAACAAAACCCGACCCGAGTAACGCGCCGGGTCAGTTGTGATATGTGGCTTGCATGGTATCCACCTATCATTCCAAACTAAAATGAACTCGCAGGCGGATTGGGTTGCGTTGCTACACAACTCCCTCGCGGATAATTGGATTGTTGTAATTCTCGATTCGATTCGAATTTCTTTCCTTCCTGTATCCAAGTTCTTGACACAGCTGGTGTAGGCGCTGCTTAGCTTGGTGGCCTCCCACCTCACCAGCTTAGCATCTCACCAAAGTTGCGCAAAGAGGCTGTAAATGGTGCTGGAATACAAGATCAATCGATGAATTCAAACCAGACAGACCAACCACCCTTCAAGTTCCTACAGGAAACCAATCCAACTTCCCACCTAACTGACCCACAGATAAGATAACTAGCGAATCATCCATACAGAAGTACGAGCACTTGATATATAGACAGTAAAGACTTTCCTCATCCACATCATCAAACCAGCGCACTCCAACCAAAACAGTAAAGCGGGGCTAAACACTACTACTAGTTTCAAGTTCCCTCTACCACAACCACAGTGATTTCCTTATGACTGCATGGCTTCCGCATGATAGTTCTCTAGCTCCTTGTCAAGATCATCAGCTGACTTCTCCACGGCCCCCTTCTTCCCACGGCCTCGCCCTCTTCCACCTCCTCTTACACCACCACCACGACCACCAGCACCACCACGACCACCACGGCTACCGGTCTGCAGTCCCCCGCGCTTACTTTGACTGCAAGCACCACACAAGCAGAGGATTAATACAGCAAAAGTCCGGACCACTAAATCAGATAAACAATTGAATGTTGAAACTTCGTAAATCATCAGGAGAGCACAAAACAAAGTTACCCAGAACCCCTGCCCCGTGTAGCTGCAGCAAAGCCCCCTCTCCCACGGCCCCGTCCAGCCCTGCAATATTTGAACAGATCAACAACAATCAATCTAATCCTGAAAAAAAAAAACATCTAAAGAGCCCATTACACATAGCCATATTCTACTGCAAAAAGAAAACAAGGTGATTCTTAACAAACTATTGACACCCAGAAACACCAATCGCATTTTCTGTGTTCAATAAGACACAAATCCTGGCAAGTGGATAATCCAGCAAACTATTCCAGGGTACTCTACCAACTAATGATGGTGAAAGCCTGCTAAAGGAGTTTGGACAGTCCAAGCCCCAAGCAGAATTGATGTTTAGAAAGGGGGAGAAAGTTCACATACGTCATAACGACAGTCCTCTTTTGTCTTCCATTGACTCCAGTGACATTTACTCTAGCTGATATAGGCAAATCCTCATTGGCACCGACAATTTCAATCTTCATAGGCTTCCCATCCAATAGCACATTGTTATACTTCTTCAGAGCAGCAAATGCATCACTTCTCCGTGTGTATACTACTTCAGCAGAACCCTGTAACATGTTTACAGATTCAATTATGATGAACATATATCACAAACAAATAGATCAAAAGTAATGAATCCACAAGAAAAGGCCAAATTTATGCCTCAATTGCCATACAATAAAAGTTACTGAACAGGCCAAATCAGAACGTAATTACAGGTTGAGCAGAAAACCGACAATGTTTAAAGGAGTAGACAAAAGAAAGGGGCTAGCATTGTGGTCCCCAACCAACTACTTCAAATTCATATATTACGCATTGGATTGGAGCACACAAAAGAAAGGAATACCATTACGGTCCCTGAGAATTAAACAACAAAATCAAATCCATATATTATACATTCCAGTTCCAAACTTCCCAGCACAAGAATGTAACTTCGTGGTATTTTCAGAGTGAAGAACAATGTCTCATTGCAGTAACAAACATGCTTCACTAACTGCTGTATTCCAACCAGATATTGCTCAAGTTGAACACACCGTGCATCACAACTACATTTCTAAAATCCAGATAGCTAATGATGGTCAAATGCAACCAACATCTCTTCTAATCAAATAAAAATAAATCAACAACTAATGACAATGGCAGTTCAAACCAGAGGGAGACTAAACAAATTGGAGCAGTATTCTCAGTACTACAATCGAATAACTGAAAGTATTAACATTCAGAACTTACACTAGGGCGGCCTGTTCTGTCATAATGAACAGCATATCGCTTTAGGTCTCCAATCTCAGCAAAAAGCTCCTGACCTCCAGCAAAAACTAACTCAGAATCCCATTAAATAAAGCACCTAACGTGAAAATCAGATAGCTTGAAGAATCTTGAACTGTACCCTTATGTCATCATTTGACACCTTATGATCCAAGTTTGAGATACACAACTTTGTACCCACTTCTATGCCAGTTATTCCTGCAGCTCTAATACTTTCCTCGAGCAAATCATGCTGCCAAGGCAAATTTCTAACTCTGCGAGCAGGCTGGAGAAAGGAAATAAAGTGTCAGCTTGAAGCAGAGCAACAAAGGACACCTCCCAGAATATCTATCTCAGACTAGTAAATCCCAGTATAAAAAGAAACTGCAATTTGGCAAAAAGCTCAGGCAACCATTTGGGAAGACTTGAGGAAATTGCGACATCAGATGTAGGGAGGAGCAAATCAATCCACTGCATGTGAACAATGTTGTTATGCTTTAGGTGAGAGCTCCAGCTCCAAAGTTCAGGAAGGAAACTCCCTTGCCAAAGGACATGAGACTTCCCACATCGAGCATTCCACACATGACAAGAGGATGCATTACTATCTCCCATTACGCGGATCACATCAATCGCCACCACTACCTTGTAGGCATAGGCTAATTGATGGCTGATTCAATAGAGGAAAACCCAAAGTTTTCACCTAGTGGAACCACCGGCATAAATACTAGGCAGTTGCAAAATTGCATATTAAGTATCTATTTTAGTGAGATCTGGCCCATAGCAGAGTGACCAATCCGTTGCCCAAGCAGCTGAAATTTCAAAATGTCCACAATGATAACTATGATATGCAACGGAAGTAATGGTTGCCATTAATGAGCTTCCCCGTGAATGCATTACGTCAGAGATCCACTGTATATTGAGTTTCTAAGCATTATTAGAGATCCTCTGAAATTCGGTTTCATAGAGATATCAAGTGCCAAGCATGAGATCCTTGGTATTGTGCTTGCCTTGGAAATTGTGAACTGTGATGGCCGCGCATTCACCCCAAGTGGACCTCTATGAACCTTCCCTGTCATTCTTCCAGCACTAAATGACCTAACAGTTCCTCGCCCACGTTGGGCACTACCTCGTCCTCTGCCTCTCCCTCTATTTTTCTTAATAATATCATCAAGAGACATGTCAACAGAAGTAGCCATTTAATTTGAAGATATGTATCCTTGACCAAGAATGCACGAAAGGGTCCTGCAAAAACGCAAGAACTATTATGAATACCACAGTGAAAGAAATACTATTAATATCTGCCTTCATAACATACTACGGAACCTAACCTAAATTACACGGTCAGGTATCGTTCACCAGAAAATATTTCGTGCCCACCATTGGCGAAGCACATTTATTACCCGAAGGAATTGAAGGTACGTGCTTCCACATATACCAAACTATACAGATGCGCATATTCAGCTACAAGCCCAAACTCAAAATTTAAAGATAGATTGACAAAATTTCTCTCCATACGTGCTTCCAACTATGCCAAACTATACAGCTTTGCAGATTTAGCTACAAGCCGAAACTCAAAATTTCAAGATCGATTGACAAAATCTCTCTCCATGTCGAAAACTATATGTCAAACCAAACCCTAATACAAATCTACCATCACGTCCAATAGAACGAGAGGGCACATATATTGAATTAGCTCATAAAACCCAAGTTTCCGTTATTCAAAAAGCCACAATCCGAAACAATCTGCTAACCAACCAAACGAATATGCAGCAGCGAGGAAATCAGCCACCCAGCATCTCAAGATCTGACCTTTTCCAGATATCGAAAACAACATAAATAAATTGAGACAGTAACAAACAAGGAGAAGAGCGCACCTTCGAAGGATACCGAAAGAAACAGCAAAGAAAATCGCGAGAAAACAAACAGGAGGGCTAAAGGGCGGAGGCCAGATCTCAGGGAGTTGTAGGGCAACGGAGCCGATGAAGGTAGAAAGAAGGGGAGATGTCGAGAGATACGGGGAAGGGTTGGCTTTTCTAGGGCTTTTGTTGGTTAGGGCATAGGGGGAGTAGAATCCTTTTGGTTATATATATATATATATGGGGTTATCTTCTTTTTTTTTTTTTTACGAATATATGGGGTTATCTCGTGGCGGTGGATTGCAATTGTTTTTTTTTTTATATAATTGATAGCCGTAAAAATGGGTGAATTGCAATTTGGTCACCCATATTATTTATTTATAACACTTTAGCCACCCAAATAAAAAACTATTCAACTTAGCCACCGATACTACACATTTATGTCATATTTGATCACTCGGCATTACCGGTTAAATGGCGCAAATTGATCCAGTCCCGGTCCGATTTTTTTTTAGAAATAAGGACCAAAGATTGGATTGGATACAGTCCGGTCTTGATCCGGTCCGGTCTTGAATCGGACTGGTCCCAATTTGGTCTTGATTTTAGATTGAACTTGTGGGGATTTGAGTGGCATGAGGGGGGATTTGAATGGCTTGAGGTCTGAAAGGGTGAGGAGGTTAAATTTGGGTGTTGGGCACTCTTATCGGTCTTTATCCGATTTTCAGTCCGGTCTCGAACAGTTTACCTCAAATCTAGACCCGAATATGGGATTGGATTGTTTGTTATCTGGTCCTGGTCTGGTCTCGGTCCGAGTTATACGTTCTGGTTTCGGGTATAACCAAAAAGCCCGGACCAAATAACCACCCCTACTCACCGTCTAGTTACGTTAAGTCTGTCCTACGTGGCAGTCAATTCCAATGTTTGACCGTTAAAATGCTGATGTGTCAATTAAAAATAATAAAAATAATTATTTTTTTATTTTCACATCATACTAAATTCTAATAAATATTTTTTTCATAAAAAACTAATTAATATTAATAAACCGAGCCCACCATCGTCGCCCTCCCCTCTTCGTCGTTGCACTTCGTCGCCCTCCCCTCCCGCTGCCTCCATGCCACCTGAAACCCACGAACCCAAGCATCCAGCCGCAAAACCAACCAATTCTCTTTCCACCGCAAAATCCCCACCACCGCTGCTCCAAGCATTCCATCGCAAAAACCAACAACGACGAACTGAAGGTGCAGTAGATGTGGTCCCCGCTACAATTAAATCCAACGATGACGAACAGATGGTGTAATCGATGGGGTCCTAGCTCCAATTCACAGTTGCATTGACGAGGAGGAGCTTCTCTAGCTCCACGAGGAGCAGCGGTGGCTCCGGGAAGGGGTGGCTTTGTGCGGTGCCTGCGAGGATTTCAGTCGCTGAAGCTCCAAATCCAGGTCATAGAGAAGAGGATTTCGGTTGTAGGGGTCGATGCGGTGCCTGCGAATGTCGATGAGCTCACTCATTTTCTTAATCGAGTCACTGAAAACTCTCAAATCTAGAAACTAATTATCGTGTTGGTGATTATTTTTTGTTCTTCAGGTTCTAGAACTAGCCGGGAAGGTCGCGGGAGACAATACGACAATGGAGATTCCAATTCCCAAAGGTGGCGCGGAGGAGTTTCGGTGTGCGGTGGTGATGGGCGTAATGAAGGAGGTTTGGGATGGAATCATGGCGGGGGAAGGGTCGGCAGAGATGAAGATGGGGGAATTGGCAAACTGGGGAGCCGGGACGGAGGTGGGGAATTGTTAAATTTTTATCATAAATAATATTTTGTAATTGAAAATTGTGAGCTGTAAAAGGATATAAAATTTAAAATTTATCAATTAATTATTTTTAATGGCCACGTCAGCATTTTAACGGTCAGACCTATTTGTTGACTATGTAAGACAGATCTAAAAGAATTAGACGGCGAGTGACCAAATATGACATAAATGTGTAGTATCGGTGACTAAGTTGAATGGTTTTTTATTCGGTTGGCTAAAGTGTTATAAGTGAGTAATATGAGTGACCAAATTTGCAATTCACCCCGTAAAAATAAAGGACCTATATTTTATCGTTTCTGTCCAATATGATATGTACTTCACAAAAAGTGACTATTATTGTCACAAAGTTGATAATTGTGGCTAATAAGATAAATTTTGCATATGCTTTTAACCAGAAAAAAAATATGGCAATAATATGGCGATTCAACAGAAAAATGGCATTATTGATAAGTGATAAATTATATATGCACGCCTTCATTTCTTAATAGATTTGGCTTTGATTTGCGGCTCATTGGCCTATTTTATGCTAGGTTGTTTTCATTTGTCATATTCAAATCCTAGCAAGTAAAGAGGGGTATAAGCACAAGTTTCGAGTTAATCGTAGGTCGTTTGGCAACTAAAAATTGGACTAGAGGAAGAAACACGGACGTGCTTCTGAGAAACAAGATTGTGTTTCTGGGGACAATACCCGTGTGCCGGCCAGGAGAAATACGGTCGGGGTTTTGCTCCTACACGAGCCGTATAATGTGTACAAAAGAGACACATGGCCAAAGAAAGAGAAAATACTGTCGTGTTTCGATCATTGTGGGTCTTGTAATAGGTGTCGAGAAGAAACACGACCAAGAGAAGGAAAAACATGGTTGTGTTTAATCCAGAGGGTTGGTCGTATTTTACCCTGAGGATACTTATATGAAATGGTGTGCATCAAGAAACGCGAACACGGGCTGAAACATGGTCGTGTTTCGTGCCTATATTCTGCCCAGTTGCGGATTTTATAGCTGATTTTGGAATTTTGGTAGGAGATCTGACTTTTGACAGCAAAAACAAAGTTCTAGAGAGAGAAAGTGATGAAGAGACGCCCTGTGGACTATTTGAGCCCTCAATCCACCATTGGGACCCAAATTTTGTCCATCAGAGTGAAGATCGACATCCTAGAGCATATTGTTATAATCTTTATGAGAATGGCTAATTCAACCACTATTTTCATCTCTCTCTTTGTAGGAATCCACTCTCTCGATTGGGTAGGAATAAACTCTAGTCCCATGTGTTAAGATTGTATTGATTGCTCTTTGGTTTGTGAACCTTGATACTATTGACTCACTCCGATTATCACAATAAAATCCCACCTAAGATTCAAGTATAAACCTTAAATGGGTGCAATATAGGGCAAATATGTTTAAATATCGATCCGGGCCGCCCCATGTACCCCTACTTCGACTGTTTGAAACATTATCTAGCGGGTTGTTGTTTTGTGAAAACCTCTACAATCTACTATTGAAAAGTAAAGTTGTGGAAAACTCTTGGCGAGAAACTTCACTCGGGTGTTGCTTCCCCCTAACCAACTATCATGACCCGTGAGATCGAATGAATCGGTGTGGGAAAAGGCGATTGTAAGCCGCTAGGAGAGACAACAGTGGTTGGAAACCACCTCTCAATTTCTAGGCCAAGGAAAGCATTATAGGCTACAAATGTAGCCCTCTTGGCCCAAGCCATTGAGGGTTGCCTTAACTTCTCCCTCAAACCGGGGTTTGGAGCGGCCAACGGACAATTAACCTAGATGCTGATGCTCGATTTGAGTTTAGAGATTTTCCCTACATTAACCTAGTTAGGAGGTATGGAATACCTAGGAAACCCAAGTCAATTAGAGTCTCTTTAGAAAATGGGATTTTCCTCTAAGTTAGGTTAGAATAGCACAATAGATTGCAAGACAACACACAATGCACAATCACCATGAAAAATACATCAAATCTCAAATTAAATATCACCCACACACAATCATTCAATCCATACAAGTAGCTACATGGTATAAGTTAGGGTTCTACAACACCCAAGTGAATAGAAGACTACTCCATGCTAGAAAAAAAAAAGAACACAAAGGAAAGGGGAAAAAACCATCATGGATGATGCATCAATCCTCCTTTGTATAGATTTAATCTTGCTTAACTCTCATACCCACATAACAACATAGTTTAATTAGTAAACCCATAATTTTCTATAGCTAACCCAACTTATTAAACCCCAAAATTATTCCCCAAATTCCCAATCGAATCGCACACAATAATAACTAACAAATAAGTATGATATGCAAAAGAATAGAAACACAGGTTTCTATCTGTTAGAATATGACTTGAATTTGATTTGAATTTGTTTTTGTGTTTTAGGCCTATTCCGTTTAGGTTTGGGATTGGGTTTTGTTTTGACCTTTTTCTTGTATGTTTGGGAAAAGGTGTTTGGTTTTCTGTTTGGGATTAGGAGAAGAGTTCTATAAATACTCTTCATCACCCTAATCTGTAGTAGGGGTCAGTCAGGTTAGTTTGTTTGGTTTGTCCGTTTGGAATTTGGTTTGTAACCTGTACTCTCCTCAAATTACTGAAATTTGTCCCCCTTGCCCGTGAATTAGCTAGCACACATTGTGTTCGTTCGTGTTGGTTTGGATTATCGATTGCACGCTTATGTTCTGACACTATCATCCCCATCTCTTTCAGAACAACCTTATCCCCAAGGTTGTCAGTCCACCACCTCGTCGCTCTTCCCATTTATCGCGGCCTCGTACTCGACCTCATCCTCCCATCGTCCCACCAGCCTCATCAAGTCCGGCTTCGCACACTTGTGCCCAACCGTGAACCGCTTATCACAATTGAAGCACTGGTCTTCACTTGCCGCCAAGCTTAGCTCTTCATCTTCCTAGCCATAATTCAGGCCCAACCACCCCAACCCATTGGGCTCCCATGCGCGGTCGTCCACCTCGTTACGAGTAATTGGGTCCGAAAACATCGTACCGGGGCATCTTGTTCTTGCCTTTGCGAGCTGGCAGTTCTTGGGTCGTGGGCGTAGGCAGAAGCCCGAGCTCCAAACCTAGCACTGTTTGGGTTCGGTTAGCACGTTCCATGGCAGTCCTCCCCGAGTCACCACCCGCAACCCCCGTCGGAGCCACTGTCTACGCGATTGCCGGCGTCGCCGCCTCAATTGTCTACTTCGCCAGGAACGCCGCTGCCGACGTCTCGGTGGCCACCACGCCGTCCCCGTTGTTTACTCACAACCTTCGTCTAGCGGCTTCCCATGCGCTTCCTCGAGGACCTTCATCATCTTGTTCATCGCCTGCCACAGCTTATCCATTTCAGCCTTTCGTACCGCCCGCTTCTGCACCTGGATAGCAGCCAACCTCTTTACGGCCACCCCCAGATTCTCATCCTTAGTCACATCCTCCACTATGACCTCCTCCGGATCCATCACCATCTGCGGCGCGAAACCCTTGGTCGCCCCAGATTTCGATGGCATGACAGCCGCGGCGACCGTCTCTCCGACACCTCCTTGTCTCGTCGCCGCCGTATTGGTGAGACTCTTTTATGTTATAACGCTACAATATTAGTATTTTTTTTTTTTTTACTATTATGTGTACAATCATTTTATACTATGATATGATACACTTCCTGATCAGGTGATATAATAAAATGTGATATAATGAAAGTGGTACCTCATGCCACATGGTATGACCTCATAATAAAAATGTCAAATTTTGTTTTAAAAATATATCAAACCTAATGTCATTTTGAAGAGTGAAGACCACGATTAATCTAACTTTTTGTACATTTTTTAAAAAATTTCGACTTAAAATGAAAAATATAACCCGTTAAAATATTGGAAGAAAAGTTAACAACCTTTCATAAATGATAAATATTAAGATTATGATGCCTATATATTATGAGGTGCATCCGCATCCTTTCTCCACTCTTCAAAAGTTAAAAGCTCAGCCAGCGGCCAGCACCGTCTTCTACTTCCAACAAGAAGAAAAAGGAAGCATCCAAAATTCCTCACTAAGACCTCTAAATCCGCAGCATTAACTACTTGGAACAGAAACAGCCTATTCAATTTTGAAGGGCACACTGATGATTATTATTGTTAATTAAGGGCCAGTGACCCCGGGAAAGAGCTCCGATATCTTGTTGAAAACATCCATCACCTGCAAAACCAGACACAGCACCACGGTCAAATTAACATGGTCGTTTCATGCAAGTAGTTGGAGGTTGCAGAAACCAGTAACCGGTCCACATTACCTCCTTGTCATTCTGATATTTCGCTATGCTCATTGGATTTTGTGAACACTGCAACACCAATAAAAAGTTCAAAAATTGAGGGCTGAAGATTAGTAAGTAAAACAGAGGCAGGGTGGCACAATCAGGAATCATCTGGGACGTACATCCATGATTGCTTGTTGCACTCTTGGGTTTTGAAATGCCATAGCAACTTCGGGATTGGCCATAATCTTAGAGATTACCTCTTCCGGTGTAAGCCCAATTTGATCTGCCATAAGTTGTAGTGCACTATTAGATTTCAGGACACCTTAAAGGATGAATCGCAAAAAACGTTTCTGATTCATAAGACTATCCAAGCTTGACAGAACCTAACAAGATGTGAACTCAAATTTATAATGTTCCAAGTGGGATCAGAATCATATATTTTCCCACTCACCAATATTTGTGAGTCGCCCTCTGGCATGAGATAAAATAAAGTGAAAAGAGAAGGGAAATCCATATTTTAACTCACCAAACTGCTGCTTAACCTCAGGACTATCGAGATCAAAATTTTTCAAGGAATCCACCATGCGTGTGTCCCATTCGTTGTTCCCGCCCATGTTGCTTCTGAAATAAATACATCAAATGAAACACAGTTTTACATCCATAGTCAACCTCATTGGTAGCGCTGCCACCATATGCAATTCCAACTGAACAAATGATATAGAATGACAAATTTTGTACCATACAACAAGTTAGGGACAAAATGAAACTATCTAAGATGTTTGCAAAGCTTGCGTAAATGTCTTATGTTCCAGAATAGTTGTGAATTTTGCAAAATTTAACCACAAATAGAAATAGATAAATCCACATGAGCATATCCAAAGTTCAACTAACCAAATCAATTCATAAACAAAAGTTTAACATCAAACACTTCTTCAGCAAAAAGAGACATGTCTTGCAGTAACACCTACAGAATAAAGAAAACTTAACATCCAACACCTCTTCAGTAAAGGCTTACAGCATGTCTTGCAGCTGTTGACGGTACTGTGGATTTTGTAGCATCCCTGTCGAACAAGGTAATAGAATAAATAAATTTTTGCAAAGCACAAGGTTTCATGATCAACTATATGTATATAAAGCTTTAGGTGAACTAGGAAACATTTCCTAAAAATCACTGGAAATCCATCACTTAATAGTACTTATACTTGGTCTGGAGTTCATTGAATATTTTATCATTGTGAAATTTCATCATCTAGGATTGGCGATATCAGCAGTTTTAATTAGTTGACTTACATTTAAAAGTGGTAGGATTTCGCATCTCCTCGGGTAAATATCTGCAAAGATACAATGAGATTAAACCTAGCAAGGAAGAAAGAAAGTCGACACCAAAAAATTGAAGGAAAAGATTCCTGGCAAAAACAAGTATTAAGCAAATGATGGATGATATATTGATATTTGAATAATCCACAATGGTAGGATAGCAACTGCAATTTGGGGAAACAATCTTACGGGTAAACCATTTGTTGTACGATCGGATCTTCCATCATTTTCTCTAAAGCATCTACAGATAAAGTTGGACCTGTCGCTGATGAAGATGAAAAAGTTCCTTTAGATATGTAAACTTTTAGTGAAACGACATGGTAAAAAACAGCAAAACGAGGACTCTTTCCCTAGCAAGTAATAGAAGATAAAAAGCACCATAATGCCAAATGATCAACACGAAATAGTTGAATTCGGCGGTCATCCTCCTATTGACCTTCTTCAAAGTCTGAGCACCTCACAGAGTTAAAAGGACATTGGAAGTTTCTATCGTCTATTTAAGATATTACCTAGTTTTAAGTAAGTTTCCGTAGATAAAATTCACTGTTTTCTCCAGCCCACAAACCAGGTACAATTCACAAGTTTCCAATTACTTATCAATGTCAATGCCCGATCTAGAATTTATAGAAGTATGATCAGAAACAGCTTTAAAAACAAAATAATTGCAACTATGTAAAACAAAAGGAAAAGCAATCTCACGAACAAGACCATGGGGAATAATACAACTCTTCCTTACTCGTAGATTGAGAACCCTCAGTCGTACGAGCATCCTGCGTAAAAGTAGCTCCATTTTGAGAAGCCTACATGAGAAGCTAAGAACGTCAAGCCCAACCACAATTTAGACAGCAGAGCGTAGTCAGATTTGTGTCAATAAAGACATACTTCAAATGGAGCATCCTTTAAGGAGCTTGTCTCATTGACATCATCAGCACTTCCAAAAGGAGTCCTCACTAGGGTTTCTCGATCTTCAGGAGAAATGTCCACAAAAGCTGAAAACAACAAAAATCAGAACCTCTTACAGGTACTGTCACAGTCTCGAGTTTGAATCTCAAAGGTTGAATGGTACCAAGTTGTAGAGAATATTTTCATTGTGCAGTAGTACAACGAAATGAGCAAGCTAGCTAAATCACCCTAAGTCCTAAGAGTCACTGAGTAAGTACATAGTAGGAAATGTTCTGCAATAAGGGAAACACGGGCCCACACCAAAAAGCAACCATGGAAGCAAAAATTTATTCATAATCACAAAAAGAGAGTATAATGGTATTCTGGAGAAACATGCAGCATCTACAGCCATAAACGGCATCAATTATGTCAATTTCCAAAATACCTGCAAGATACATCGTTATGAAGTTGTATCAACAGTTCATATGACAATCAGCTAGGTTCAAACTTGTTCCCAACTTGCAGAAGGCAGCCGAATTCATTAACACAACAAAAAATGAGACAATTAGGTGACTAGTTACTCATCTATCGAGTTGCATGGACTTGAAGATTTAATTAGGTCTGTGGTGGAAGTTGGAGAAAACGTTCAAAAGGGCCGACTGTTCAGATTGACAGTAACAATATAGCCATATAGCATGTTCACGACTTTGGAATAAGTTTTCCCTGGCGAGATGCAAGTAATTAGGAAAAGGAAACCGTACTATACATTCAAGAAAAAGTACGCTAAGGATTAAAGAAATGATGGTGGTCCTTCCTAAGAGAATGTAATTGAGCATAAGAGCAATTTTCTCTTACCGTACTTCTTTTTATCCTCCTTAGTCTCCACATCATTATTCATGTTAGTGGCTGAAGACTGTTCAACCTTCGTTGCAGAAACGTCTACGGTCGCTCTTGGTAGAGAAACACTAGGAGGTGGTGGGGTAGCAACCTCAGCTGCTGAGGATGCAGAAAACGAAGGTGCAGCAGGCCAAGATGGTGATGAAGTTGTGCGTGAAGGTGAGGTATCAGGCCCAGAAGTTGTAGGCATTGGGAATTGAAAAGGCGAAATAGGAACGTTGCCAAATTGGCTATTTTGAGTATTCATCTGGTTCATCATAGTTTTCATAGCTTGCTGCATTGCATATTTCTGGCAAAACCGAAAAACAGGAAAAATTCAGAGTTTAGGTATATGATACACATTGTTCTGTTTAGATTGGACAACCACATCAGAGTTGCACATGGGGAAGCTACAAGAAATTATGTAAGTTTAAGTCTCTTATCTGCGATTCCAAGCAGCATTCATAATTGCCATTAAACAGATGGACAATAAAGGGGGGGGGGGGGGGGGGGGGGGGGGGACATTTGCTGAACTTCATGGGAAACATATTTCACAGGACATTTCACTTTTAATAATTAACAAAACTAAGCTGTGATATATATATAGATACAGAGTAAACGAGCAGCCGAAGACTAATAGAACAGAACAACAAGACAGCAGGAACTGAGAGCAGTAATCCCAATCTGACTATAGCTCTCTGCAATATGATCCAGGTGTTAGGGTAGCATCAAATTAAGAAAATAGACTAGTTCGTTGAAAGCAACAGCCCTTGTCTCACATAGCTGTTCTCCTCCTCCATTTACATTAAAGTATTAGCTCAATCGAACTATACCTAGTTATGAAATATATATACCTTGCAAGTCAAGAAAACTCACCTTCAAGTATGAAGCCACCTGTAATTCAATCGAACTAGTTAAAAACCACTATAGAAACATAGATTTCCGAAAAGCTGCATCAAACATTGTAACCTTTTCTTACCCATGAAAAAAGCGCAGAGAAAGCAACACCGACTCCAACCCAAAAGAGAGGTGACCCACTGCAAAGAAGGCAAATTGGAGAGGAAGGTCTAAACTATTATATGCACTATAAGCGATAAGCAAAATCCCCAGCCAATTAACCCATAGGACATGTTTAACCGTTTCTCTTGTCTCTCTTGTCCTGGAAACAGTAGCTTGCATATAGCAGAACAAGACGGCAAAACTGAAAAGCTGAAGAATGTAGAGTATAGTTACACTTGTGAAGGAGCGGTAGGCACAGGCTGTGAGCTAACACCAACAGAAGATGTCTGCTGACCACTCGATGAGGAAATGCTAGCGAATAAGCTAGGCCCAAAGTTCCCTGTCCACCAAGAATGGAAAGCAGACGAACAAAGTCATTAGTGGGAATGAAGATGGAACAATAAACTGCAAGATGTTAAGCATCCACAATTCACATGTGGTTCACAGCATTGGACCATGTAAGCGAGCATAGATAAGCAGCAAGAACTCAAAAACAATGACTCAGTTTAAACAAGAACAAATTGGGATAAAAATACCATGTCCGGAATTAGTAGAACGAGCAGCCTCCGAGTGCGACTGTGGAGGGTGTGCAGAGCTGCTGGAGCCACTGGACGAAGCTGAGATGGAAATTCTGGAACGGTGTGGGGGAATCAGGTAATTCCGGAGGTGGAAGGGAAGGGTTCTTCCACTGGGAGTAGGGTTTTGGAGTGAAGTGGGATATCCAATAACCAATTTCGGAGAAGAAGAAGAAGAGGAGGAGGAGAGCAGCGCCATGTTTAAGTTATGCATACTGATTGCCTAAATGGACGAGGTGAGCAGGAAGAGAAGATATATTTCTGGTGTGGGAGGTTTTCGCTTTTGCAGTCTAGAAAGGAATATTGAACTCGGACGCAGTTTCCATGGGGAGTGAGAGGGACGGGGAAAGCAAATCGGTTAGGTTCGGTAGACTGAGCGGCCTGGCCACAGTTCGCCCAGCTGGCTGGATTTACGAATCTTTTAACCGACTCGCTTAAATTTGAAATTCTTCCAACAGAATATTTTCACTTAAATTCAGGTGGGGTCGTTTTAAATGGGTTAATTGCAAGTTTGGTTTACGAAAAAAGTTCATGTTTGGTCACTAAAAATATTTAATTTCATTCGTGGTCATTAAGATTAGTTCAATAGCTCAAGTTTGGTCACTCCCGTTAATCTCCATTAAGTTTAGCTAATATGGCAGTCAACTCTCATAGTTTATCGTTAAATAAATGATGTGACAATTCAAAAATAAAAATCATATAAATTTAACCTTTCATAATTTCCACCTCATTTTACAACCATTAAAAACTAAACATACAAATTAATCTCTCATAAATGCAACGGAGAGAGGACGGGCGACGTGGTGGTGGCGTCGGAGCAGCGTTGGGAGCTGCTGTGAGCGCTGGAGAAATGCAACGAGGATTTGTAGGTGCTGAAGAAGATGATCGACGAGCCAACAAGGTGACGAAGAGTTTTGGCGTCGGTGACGATTGGTCTGCAGGGGGCTACGATACATTTGCGGCAGCGGCGGGGAATGATAACAAATAAATCGAGCTGGAGAAGAATCCGAGCGGAGAACGATTTGATTGGGATTTCATGAGATGGCAGAGCTCGATTGAGATTTCGTCGGTCAAGTCGTTTTAATCGACTTGCAACATGGTGAGATTCGAACAGGTGGAGAGGTTTGCAGGGATCGTGGAGGAGATGGAGTTTTGGACCACGGCTCCCGGAGACGGCTGAGCTCAGGGAGCCAATTTATTGTGAGAGAAAGTGATTGATCCATGGGGAAATTAGCAGCTTGCATTGCCTTCTGATGTGCTCATTCCTTTTCGGTCCTTTACTTGCTTCTCCATGTTCTTAATCTAATGAAGTATAGCCACTACCAATTTGTCAAAATCATTGAATTTCAACTCTGGGGAAAGAAGGGGAAATCACCGCCTCCCACCCCATCACCATCGTCGGACTATCCTGCTCCAGCTCCGTCGAAGAAGAAGAAGATCGAGAGCCCCTTGCCGATTTCGACGAACCCCTCCAGCAGTCCAGCGCGCCCACAACGAAAGGCCTTTCCCTCTCGAGATTTAGTCCTCTCCCTCCATCAACCCATATTTGCCCTCGTCCAAGAGCTTTTTGATGATGGTGGCATCGGTGGCGCGGTCGCGATTGTGGCGCACGGTTCAGATGGGGGAGATGAACTCGGAGAGACGGAGTCCAAGTAGACAACGACAGGGATGGGGCTGCTAGGGATTTCTCAACGGATTCAACGATTTCAGCTGCAGAAGGGGAGTAGGAAAGGAAAGGGAAGGAAGATGGCAGAGATGCTAGTGATTTCCATAATGTCATGTGGGAAGGAAGCCCAAAGATGGAAGTGGCAGCGCCGGCGGGGAGTGTCTTGGCGATGAAGGATATGGTAAAAGTATCGGGGATTAGAAGAAATTAAATTTTTTATTTATTTTTAATAAAAATGATAATGAGGTGAAAAATTTAAAAGATTATATTTATTATTTTTTAACTGCCACGTCATATATTTAACGGTCAACTATAAAAGTTGACCACCACATAAGCCGAAAGTTAACGGAGTTGGACGGAGAGTGACCAACATAAATTAGCTTTTAAGAAGAAGCAGGAAATAATATCGGAATTTAGGGAGGGGGCACAACAAGATATCGATGCGTGGTGTGATGCGGTTACCAGTGAGCTATTTTTAAGACGGGAGAAACATTCTTCGGGTTTTCATTTATGTTTTAAGGAATTTTACCTTCAAGTAGTCCGTTTCGGCACAGGATGTTTTTATGTAGGCCCTGGCAAAGATCGCAGAGGGTTATTTAACTAATTTTATTTTTAGTGATCAAACGTGGACGTTTTTAGTCATCTCAGTTATCAATCTTGCAATTTACCCCGTTTTAAATTATTCGTTTTGTAAAATGGGACAATTAGTCAAATTGTCTCGTTTTTCAATTGATCAATCCAAACAATCCCTAGTCGTATACACTAATCTAGTCTATTGGGCGGATATCATCCGCTGTGTTTGGCAACTAGAAGTGCAAATTTTAGAGGGTGTAAGTTGAGCGAAAAATTATAAAATAGTGGAAAGTAATATTGTTGTTTGGAATGAAAAAAACAAAGGGTGCAATATGGTGGAAAGTAAGTAAATCATATTATTATAAAATAAATTTATTAATTTATAAGACTCGCTTTCGCTACAGCTCCAGTGGGTTTCCCTTAACCAAACCACTGCATATGAGTCGCCGACTCATTCTTCAACAGGCGTGCGATCAAAGTCCATCTCCTCCCACTGCTTGGGAGCTTACGGGTTGGCGAGGTGGGCAAACCCTATACATTTTATTATAAAATGAATAAACCAGAAAAAGATGGTTCGAACTGATGACTTCCACCACGTCAACGTGACACTCTACTGCTGAAAAAAATTATAATATTCATAAATATACTTTAATAAAAATAATTGTTATTATATTAATGCTTAAATAGTAAATTTGCCTCCCACGTTGATTTGTCGACATGGTGATCTCGATTTGAGTAGACAAACCTTGAAAAACTTGCTTCCGGAGTCAAACAGCAACCCACGAACAACGTCTTTTTTTTTCCTGAGTGATATCAATGGAAGAAAATAGTTAAACTTACAATTCTACCCAGGACCCCTAACAGAATCTAAAGAAGCCACCCCAAAAACTCAAAAGATTCTAGCTCTACACGAGACAAAAGCAGTGCTTTACGCGCCACTCTATGGGCAGCACTGTTGGCGGATCTAGGTACCGTCCTAAACTCTATACAAACAGACAAAGAGCTAAGGATCTCAAGACACTCTCGTAGCACCGGACCTCCAATCGAGTCTTCAATGACGCCTTGACGGATTTGGTTGACCACCACTTCGGAATCACCTTCGACTATCACGTGGGTCAAGGATCTTGAGACTACGATGGAGATAGCGTCTCTAAAAGCTAGAAGCTCTGCCATATAAGGATTGACTATTCCTTGATGCTGCAGTCCGAGCGCCAGCACCATATGCCCGTCTGACCCACGAATAACAAGCCTAGGCGAACAACCGGTGGTACAAACAGCTGCGTCGACGTTGATCTTCAAAAAGTCTACTGGTGGAGGGACCCAAGTGTTGGCAGGATGATTTGGGATAAGAGAGCTGCGGGGCGGAGGAGGAAGGAGAAGATTGGTTCGAGGACCTGGTTGTAGAACTGTCTGGCTAGGGAACGAACATGAGGTTGGATAAATTCGAAGGTCACTTTATTTCTAGACTTCCAGATTCTCCAAAGTAAACAGACACATTGGAGAATGTGGAATGGGGAGGTCTCGGAGACCATGACATGTCGCCACCATAGACTAAAGTTAATAGTCTGGGCGGTCTCAATAAAGTTGCTCAATCCCACTACAGTCCACAATCTGGTGGCTAGGGGGCATCTGAAGAATAAATGTTCAATGCTTTCTCGATGTCTCCAGCAGACAGGGCATCGGTTGAAACAGTTGACTCCACAAGTTTGAAGGGCCACTACTCTAGGAAGTATGGCTTTGAGGCATCGCCATATGAAAATTTTGAGCTTAGGCGGGACTTGGATATTCCAAGTATTTTTCCAAATGGGAATTTCGAGCAATCCATTGCTGGCCAATATTTTCTAGTATCAAATTGTTGGATGATTGCATTAATTAGGGCATTGAGAGCATATTTATTTGCGGATGCCCTTTGAATAGTCCCCATTATGCTGGCGAAAGCAACAACCTTGAAAGGCTCTCTTTATTAGAGTTTTAAAACACTCTAGCTCGTCATTAAGGAGACGATTTAAAAGCACAATTAAGGCTTTTCCGGCGCTAGCCGTTTTTGGCCATAAAGCCTTGTAACCGACTTGAGAAAAAGTGGTTACCAAATCCAATAATTATTGTATTAAATGATCATAAAGCTTTGTAACCGATTTGAGACAAAATAGTTACTAAACCCAACAATTATTGTATTACAAGTACAGAGAGCCGGTAAACAAGTAAAGTAATGAAAAAAATTACAACTGAAAAGAGAAAGGAATTAACAATAAATGGATTTGGGCAAGCTACACTCAAAATACTAATTAAGCCTCCAATTAATTCCGAGCTAGAAATACGTGAATTTAAATGGGAGCATAAAGGGCAACCGAAGAGCAATCAATTAGCCTTCATATCAACAGAAATATTAGTTGTCAATTAAAGTTGGGGGAAAAGGATGCTACCGGAGTTGAGACCGGTGACACCTTACCTTCTTCCGACCATAGAAAAGGAAGGTCCGCCTACGAGCTCAATGAACTTGATCCAACAAGCATTGTAATGAATCTGGGAACCATCTCAACAGAGATAGATTCTTTGGTAAAGAACCCCAAAGTACACAAAGGTTCCACAAGGGAAAGCCATATCAACGAGACGACTAGCGTCTTGTAAGACGCGAGAAAAATGGATGACAAAGAAAACTCACAGATACCTAGGACATCAGAGAACCCAGAAACAAAGGAATCAGAATTCCTAACCAAATGAAGGCACATAGATCAAGGGAACCACCAAATAATCCAGCTCCAGGCAATGATGACCCGAATAATGTTACCGAACCAATCAAATTTCAATCCCCATCCAACACAAAACTTCATTCCCAAATCGAAGGGAACATACAAGACGGATCAGACCAGGAAGCAATTACAAGAGTTTATGAGAAGGAGATCCCAAGGCTCGTAAGAAACAAACACAATTTTAATGGGAAGAAGATGGATTGTTCAAACAACACATTGTCCGCCTAATGAATCTTAGGTTAAGTGCACATACCATCAGAGCATGAGAGAAACCAGACTGGTATGATGAATTCCGAGCAATCTCGCAGAGATCACAAGTGAAGTCGCTTCTCCCACGATGAAGGATAACAGTAGGTTCTTGGTAGTCTCGTTTGGGTTCAACCCAAAAGTGAAATTGGCCTCGAACGGCCATGGTTTCAGAGACCAAACATGCCCAGTTTGCAAATTGGCGCCCAATTTCATCCCTGGTAGAAGGGTATCCGTTGGGTAATCGAAGCTCTGCCTTAGTTCCCGCTTCATCGACTCATCTCGATTCAGCTCCCGAAGCACAAAATTGTCGGAATTGAGCAAAACAGTGCTCGTCTTTCCTGAAATTCCGTCGACGGTGGCGGCGGAGGTCTGGGAAACAATCTCATCACCTATTCCATTTCCAATCTTCAAGTTCCCGCCGCTTGCTACGGTGAGAACCCCTGTTCTACTAATGATCAGGACGTTTACGTTTCCGACCCAGACGGGTGGTGGCCCCTCGCCTCCGTTGGGTTGTTTATGGTTTCGATTACAATGTTGTTTCATTCGGTCGCAACAGAATCTCACACCTCCCCGCCTTGAATGTGCGCCCCTTCCTTAGCCGTTGAATCGCTGCGAGGGGGTTGTTTCCCACGAACAACGTCTACATTAATAATAAATTAATAATAGCTATAATAAAATATTGATAATATTAGTTATTATATTATTATAAACAATTAAAAAGTAAAAAACCATAATCTCTCTCTTTCTGCCTCACCTTTATTCCATTGCACCCCAATTTGAGATAAGCCGAAATAGTAAATTTGCACCCATGTTTTGCACTCTCTACTGTTACAAATTAATCAATGCATTTGCACCACAAATTTACTCCCCTCTCATTTACAAACCTTCCCAAACATAGTGTTGACGTTCAAGAATGTGCAATTATTTTTAACAGAAATAATATTTTTTTCAAATAACATATTGGGATAAATGTTTGTACTTATGCTTAACATTAAGCTAATAAATACTAAAGAAATGTAATAACACTTGGTGTTATTTACCCTTTATATTTAGGTTCATTTCGTGCTAATTCATATATATAATCGGAAGAATATCATCGATTGCAACCCTATTTTGTTTGTAACATTCCGAACCTTTTCCCAAGCAAGATATCGTTCACTTTAGGCCTCGATCCTCACGGATGTCGACTTCGAGTGCAATTCAAGGTGATTTCCCATTAGGGTCACCCATCCTTGGTTACTCCACACTGAATGCATTTAACTTTGGAGTTCTCACAAGAACTCCTCCATTTCACCCCAAAATGCGTCTTGTCAGTTAAGTCTGGTTTATTACTTATGAACCATGGATCTCTCCCGTGCTTTGTCGATGTGGGATTTGCCTAAGGTGTTACATCGTTCCTATTTGATTATGTCGTGATTTTAGGGTGCTTTAGACAATACATGTGAATTAGGTACAAAAAGAGGCACAAGTTGATTGTGGGAAGTTAAGCTATCAAAGGCTAGTGAGGTGAAACCAGAGTGGCGGTTAATCCACCAAGTGATTGCTAGGCAGTGGGTGGAAAGAACCAAAGCAAGGGCAATTTGACGGCCCGATACGTCATTTTCTTCCAAAGCACGTATCTTCCTTAATCGCTTCACCTCGGTTTGGAAATTCCGTCCATCTTCAAGTGATATGAAACAGACCATCGACTCACTGCCTTTCATGGAGGAGCTTGTGTCACTCGTTTTGCAAATTATTTCGGGGTCGACTTCTTTGTCGTGCAATTTCGGTTCTACTCCTATATCATTTGACATCTTGAAATCCAGAATTTAAGTGTTACATTTGAGTGCCAACGACGTTTGGGGAGTATGTAGACTTCCATTTCCAACCACTAACACGTAGGATATGGAGGGTGCCATGTTCCGTCTTCCGGAAGACACTGCGATAATAGGACGAAGAAGGCTAGTCAACGAGGAAAAACAGGTTGAAAGCATGCATGGGGGAGAAAAGGCGCATCCATCCACTTCTCATCCACCTCCCCCACCTCTCAACTATGCATCTTTTTTATCCATTGGAATGATGTCGTACTGTAATCAGAGAATAATGCAGAGAATGGGAAGTTGAATAGGTCAAATGGAGGAAATGATCGGACAGTTAGGGATTTTGACTTGATGGTCAACTTTGGTAACCAAACCAGTTGTAACCAATCGGTCTGATCTCCTTACTGCTCAAGTTAAATGGACAAGGAGTTAAACGAATGGGCTTTGTTGACTTAAGCCCACAGATCACTGATATTGATCCAGAGCTTGATCAAGTCACGGCCCAGACTCAGAGAAGAAGGAACAGAGTCATCGTCTTCTTCACCAAGCCTGAGCACAGACCAAGCAGAGCACCGAAAAACAGAGTATGAGGGGAGAAGGAAGAAGGCAGCAGAAAGTAAAGTACACAGAGAGTTTTTAACGAGGTTCGCCACAGGGCTACTCCTCGTCCCAGGATAGTACCCCTATCCTGAGAGACACTTTGATTTTCTTTTTGATTGACGCAAGAAAGGAACCTAACAAAACGAATTACAGACACAAGTGAGAAAATCAAAGTGCAAAGGACCTAGACCAGAATTCGCGCAGGAATTCTCAACACCCTTTGATCAAGCTGAACCTCTACCCCAGCTTGAATCAAAGCCACTGAATCCCAAACCCAACCCTCTGCTTTTTCTCAAAGGAATCCCTGTTTGCTTCAGTACCGAGCTTCTTCCCTTCAGCTTCTTTAAATAGCTCTAACCCGTAGCCGTTGGAGATTGAGGTTGGACCAGAAAGGGTAAGTGGAATCAGCTTGTGATTGATATCTCGATTGATTGATTTGCTTCCCCTTGATCCATGATCTGGCAATCTCCTAACTTGATTCTGACTTTGAATCTTGCCAATTCAACAATCTCCCCCTAAGTTGGAGATTGCCAATTGTCCGCTTGATTCCTGCAAAACAGATACTGTCTCCCACGCACAAAAGTATAGAACAAGAACATTCCACCACACTACCCATTTAGCAAGCAAATATTCAACTCATAAGAGAGAGTAAATCCAGAGAGTAGCAACTATTCAGCTGGGAAAAAGACACGTCCAGCAAACCAAAACATCAAACCAAAACATCAACTGTTATCAAACAAAAGAAGTTCTAGTCAGATTCATAAGCATCTCGAAGATCAGCAAGCACATCACTTAATGGAGGGGATCCTGGATCAGTGTCCTCCTCATCATTGTCACTGCTGCTGCTGTTGCTGTCACTGCTGCTGCTGATCCAATGCACTTCTGGATGAGGTTCTTCCTCTGGAACATCGTCTGAAGAGTATGAAAAGTCTGAGGGTTCCTCCCCCTCAACGGCAATGGCAATCTCGTCCAGGACATCATCAGCAGTAATATAGATAGTAGGAGTAGTGGAGCGGAAAGGATCAAGGGAAATTTCAAGACGAGTGATGAGGCGTGTGATGAGAGGGCCGAAAGGAAGATGACCGTGGTATTCGAAATACTGGAACATATAGAGATGGCCAAACAGCAGGTGGGAGAAATCCAGAGGAACATTGTTCACAGCATGCTGAATAACCCAGAGATCTAGAGGGGTGACTCTATCTAAAAGCACGGTTCTAGGAAGGAAGCGATGAGTGAGAATGAAGTGAAAAGTTCGGATACCAGGTAACAGAAATGTGGTGGGAAGGGTGAGCAAAGCATCGGGAGCATGACCAGTTAGTTGCACAAACTCTTGCTCAATGTCAAAGTTGAACAAAACTAGCTCAGATTCATGGGCTAAAACTTCACCAACCTGGGGAATATCAAGTAGACGACTGAGACCAAGGTGGTAAACGTGCGAGTTTCTAGACCAAACGACCTAAAGTTGGAATAGAAGAGGCGAACTGCCTCAGGACAGATATGTTCCAGGGTTTGATCAGTAAGAAACTCCCATCCCAGGTTACGAATAAGATGAGAAAAATCAATACCATAATCAACTAGACCAGCATGAGGGATCTGATAGGTATGAATAATGCGGCGACGAGCATAAGAAGTGGCATGCCTATGGGTATTAGCAGGGATAGGATCATGAAACAGGGTACCTGTATAGGTGATGGAGAACTCAAACACCATTGAAAGGGCTAGGTCAAACCACTAAGACACGAATTAAGGATGAATGACCAGACTCAGAACACTCAGACGTATAAATACTTAAACTAACACACAGAAAAGGTAATCACATAAAAAGGAAGAATTGCAAAAGGAAAGCAAAAAGAAAAACTAAGGTAAGAAGATCATCTTAATGAGATCAAATTCTCCAGATTTTCTGGAGATCGAAGCCCGAGTTCATAGCAAAGGAGGGTAAATCGATCTGCATTTAATGGCTTAGTAAACAGATCTGCCAGTTAGTATTCAGTAGGAATATGAGAATTAAATTTTGCTCGACTAATTCCATAATAAAATGGAACTTAACTTCTATGTGTTTAGTTCTGGAGTGTTGCACAGGGTTTTTGGACATACTTATGGCACTGGTGTTGTCACAGAACAAGGGAATTGTTGAGGTAAGGATTTTATAATCTAGAAGCTGATTTTTAAGCCAGATGAGCTGTGTACAGCAGCTCCCTGCTGCAATGTACTCAGCCTCTGCAGTAGATAAAGCTACTGCTCCTTGTTTCTTACAGGACCAAGACACTAAAGAAGTTCCTACAAACTGGCAAGTCCCAGTGGTACTTTTCCTATCTGAGAGGCTTCCTGCAAAGTCTGAGTCACTATAGCCCATTAGATTGAAGTTGTCATGAAGTGGATACCACAATCCAACCTCAGGAGTTCCTTTCAAATAACAAAATATTCTTTTAACTGCACTAAGATGGCTTTCTTTAGGAGCTGATTGGAACCTAGCACATAGACATACACTGTGTTGGATGTCTGGTCTACTAGCAGTCAGGTAAAGTAAAGAACCTATCATGCCTCGATATTTCTTTTCATCAACTAATTTCCCTGATATATCTTTGTCTAGCTTAAGGTTTGTTGCCATAGGAGTGGGGCTAGAATTGATTGAGTTCATATTGAATTTTAGTAGCATTTTCTGAAGGTATTTAGATTGGTTGATGAATATTCCAGAGGAGTTTTGTTTAACTTGTAGACCAAGGAAAAATTTTAACTCTCCCATCATGCTCATTTCAAACACTGACTTCATGGTTTCGCAAAATTCAGTGCATAGTTTTGGATCACTGGATCCAAAGACTATGTCATCTACATAGATCTGAACAATAAGGATGTGGTCAGACACATGTTTTATAAACAAGGTTTTATCAATGCTTCCCTGAGTGAATGATTTTTCTATTAGAAAGGATGATAGACGTTCAAACCAGGCTCTAGGGGCCTGTTTAAGACCATACAGGGCTTTGTTCAACTTGTAAACATAGTCAGGGTGCTCAAAATCAACAAAACCAGGAGGCTGAGCCACATAGACTTCCTCATGTATCAAACCATTAAGAAATGCGCTTTTCACATCCATTGGATATAATGGAAACCCCATAAAACTAGCAAAAGCACATAGTAATCTAATGGATTCAATCCTGGCTACTGGAGCAAAAGTTTCATCAAAGTCAATTCCCTCCTCTTGGAGATATCCCTGAGCAACTAATCTAGATTTATTTCTAATGACAACATTATCCTCATCAGATTTATTTCTATAGATCCATTTAGTACCAATAACTGTAATATTTTCAGGTCTTGGAACTAAATCCCAAACATGCAAGTGTTCAAATTGATTTAGTTCTTCTATCATAGACATGCTCCATTCTTCATCTTGAATGGCTTCTTTCCAGTTTTTAGGTTCAAATTGGGAAACAAATGCATACTGGCCAGGAGAGTACTTACCTCTAGTTTGAAGACCATCACTGAGTTTGCCAATTACCTGGCTTTCAGGATGCCTCTTCTGAATATGAGGAGGAGCTTGTGGCACAGCTTCTGCGGTTTCTGTGTTTTCTGTAGTTTCTCCTGGAGGGTCGAGAGGCTGATGCATGTCTGGAGTAACCTGTTCACTCAAAGACTCTTGACCAGAAGATGTGAGTTCACTTAAGTCGATAGTTACTGGATTTGTTGAAACACCAGTCAAGGTTTCATTGAATAAGACATGTACAGACTCTTCTACTTTCTTAGTACGCTTATTGTAAACCCTATAAGCTTGCCCTTTAGTTGAGTATCCAAGAAAAGTAGCAGGATCAGATTTTGCATCAAACTTACCAAGTGAGTCCCGAGTATTTAGAGAATAGCAAGGGCATCCAAAAGGGTGAAAGTAAGAAATCTTAGGAGTTTTACCTTTTAATATTTCATAAGGAGTTTTATTCAATTCTTTTCTAATTAGAACACGATTTATAACATAACAGGCAGTGTTTACTGACTCAGCCCAAAAGAACTTAGGTAAATTATAATCCAACAGCATAGTTCTGGCACACTCTATTAGGGTTCTATTCTTACGCTCAACTACTCCATTTTGTTGAGGGGATCTAGGAGCAGAGAAGGTGTGTAGGATTCCTAATTTGTCACACAAATTAGCAAATTCATCAGAGATGAATTCACCCCCATTGTCACTCCTAATAGCTTCTAGGGACTGTTTATGCATAGTGAGGAATGTCCTAAATTTTTCAAAAGTTTCATCATTGTGTGCCAAAAAGAATACCCATGTATACCTGGAGAAGTCATCAACTAGCACATATACATAATTTTTTCCTCCTAGACTAGTCACATTACATGGACCAAATAAGTCCATGTGTATTAATTCGAATGTTCTAGATGTTGTTATGTCTGGTTTAGGTTTAAAGCTCTTTTTCTTATGTTTGCCAGCAGCACAAGCATTACAGAAGAATTCGGCTTTATCTTTAAGCTTGGGAAGACCTCTAGCTAAGTTAAGCTTTGATAGACTGGACAACTTTGCTATACTGATGTGACCAAGTCTTTTGTGCCACAACAGTTCAGATGATAGGGAAGAAGCTTGTAGGCATTTAGCATTAAACATGCTTGAGTCAGCTAGATCCACAACATACATGTTATTAACTCTTTTGCCTATTAATATGATCTTGTTTTCAGTAATTTGTTCTACTAAGCATATATCATTTTCGAAAATAACTCGATTATCATTACTACATAGTTGGCTTATTGAAAGGAGGTTGTGTTTTAACCCATCCACTAGAAAATTTTTTTTCATTATAGGTAAAGGGCTATTCCCAATGCATCCAGACCCAACTATTTCACCTTGACTGTCATCCCCAAAGGTAACCTTTCCACCACGTTTCATAGTTAAAGTGTTAAAAAGATATTTCTTACCTGACATGTGGTGTGAACAACCACTGTCCAAATACCATTTTGAATCATCATAGGAATGCAGATTTTTACCTGATCCATGGAGAGGTTCTGATTCATTTTGTTTATTGAATGCCATGAAGGCTTCTTCATCTTCTTGAATTTCTTCTTCTTCTGATTCATAATCACTCCAAGTGGTGGCCTTCATTGCTCTCTCTTTAGCTTTTAGAGTGAGTGGACAGTTGGCTCTGATATGTCCAGGCTTCCCACATTTGTAGCAGTCTTGAGTTTCTCTATCTTGATTACCTGTCTCAAAAGATCTGGTCTGCGGAGTTCGCAGCCTATTTTGCGAACATTTTTTGACTTTGTCAAAGTGGTTAGAACGATTAAACGAACTCCTATCATTACCCTTATGCTTTTTCTCTTGCTTATATTTCAGCATTCTATGAAATTTATTACTAACAAGAGCAAATTCCCGATCAAAATCTTCTCCTAGCTCAGAGTCAGAATCATATTCATTCACTTGAGACTTAAAGGCTAGTGATTTCTTACGTTTCTCATCTTCTTTATTGACTTGTTTAAGTACATGTTCATGGCTTAGAAGAGATCCAACTAATTCATCTATAGGTAGAGTATTCAAATCCCTAGCTTCCTCTATGGCAGTTCGCTTAGGTATCCATTCTTTAGGGAGGGATCTTAAAATTTTTCTATTTAGGTCTTTGGTGAGATAGATCTTCCCTAAACCTTTCAGTTTGTTAATCAAAATGGTAAATCAAGAGTACATATCATTAATTCCCTCACCTGGAGCCATGTCGAAGCATTCATATTCGTGAACCAGAAGATCGATTCTGGTTTCCTTGATGTTCGATGAGCCTTCATAGGTATTTTCCAGTGAGCTCCAGATAGATTGAGCTGAGTCACAGTGCTCCACTTTATCTGCCTCGTCGGGTGTCATAGCCGTTTGCAGGATGTGCATCGCACGCTGATTCAGCTGGGCGCTCTTCTTTTATGCAGCCGACCAGAAGTTCTGTTGTTCTGCCTCCATTTCGAGAGGGCCATCGCGTACGACTGACCATAGCTCTTCATCTACCCCCCAAAGGAAGGTCTTCATTCGCTTTTTCCAAGCGGTGTAGTTTGCTCCCGTGAAGATTGGCGGATGGTTGTAAGAGGCATGCCCGAAGTTTGCGGAAGCCATTACTCTGAATCTTCCCTTGGCAGCAACAAGCTTCAATCAAGTAACCAGGCTCTGATACCACTTGTAATCAGAGAATAATGCAGAGAATGGGAAGTTGAATAGGTCGAATGGAGGAAATGATCGGACAGTTAGGGATTTTGACTTGATGGTCAACTTTGGTAACCAAACCAGTTGTAACCAATCGGTCTGATCTCCTTACTGCTCAAGTTAAATGGACAAGGAGTTAAACGAATGGGCTTTGTTGACTTAAGCCCACAGATCACTGATATTGATCCAGAGCTTGATCAAGTCACGGCCCAGACTAAGAGAAGAAGGAACATAGTCATCGTCTTCTTCACCAAGCCTAAGCACAGACCAAGCAGAGCACCGAAAACAGAGTATGAGGGGAGAAGGAAGAAGGCAGCAGAAAGTAAAGTACACAGAGAGTTTTTAACGAGGTTCGCCACAGGGCTACTCCTCGTCCCAGGATAGTACCACTATCCTGAGAGACACTTTGATTTTCTTTTTGATTGACGCAAGAAAGAAAGGAACCTAACAAAACGAATTACAGACACAAGTGAGAAAATCAAAGTGCAAAGGACCTAGACCAGAATTCGCGCAGGAATTCTCAACACCCTTTGATCAAGCTGAACCTCTACCCCAGCTTGAATCAAAGCCACTGAATCCCAAACCCAACCCTCTGCTTTTTCTCAAAGGAATCCCTGTTTGCTTCAGTACCGAGCTTCTTCCCTTCAGCTTCTTTAAATAGCTCTAACCCGTAGCCGTTGGAGATTGAGGTTGGACCAGAAAGGATAAGTGGAATCAGCTTGTGATTGATATCTCGATTGATTGATTTGCTCCCCCTTGATCCATGATCTGGCAATCTCCTAACTTGATTCTGACTTGAATCTTGCCAATTCAACACGTACTACAAAGTGTCGACTAATCCTCCCATACTCGGTCCAATAAATTCTCGAGTTTGACCTCTGTTTCCCTATTTGCTCCAACTTATAGCACATACTCCCAAAATTTTCTCTTCCTTCGTCTTTACTCCAAACTTGGGCCTATCAAACATACCATGGTTCTCAAGTTCACCGTAATCCTTGCCCTCAGAGCTACTAGTTAAAGATGCAGGTGTCGTTGTAGTTATCTCTTGGTTTATCCAACTGATGGGTGTTCTTCAGCCGGGGATACTTCACCTGAAAAAAGATGTCGTTGTTGCCCGGGGGACATTGACGAAAGTCATTGATGAGAGATGGCACCACGATGTCAAATTGTCAACGACGAAATGAGATTTGTTGAAAAGAGAAACTTTAACGGTGATGGCTGAGTCACAACTTTAGGTTATTGTACGATTTCATCAAGTAATATCATAGTACGTACCTGGAGACGTCGTGGGCAAAAATATGGTTGATTGTTGAAGCAAGGGGTGAAAATTGGGGTGAATGTGGTTACCCGCCCCACATTACAACCCGCACCGCAGTGGTTAGTGTGTAACCATCACCCACTGTGGGTTTGTGCGGGTTGGATGTGGTTACCCATAAAAATCCATTTTTGCAAGCATAGAGTTCTAGTCACCACTAACGTATTTGTTGTTCGTAACTAGACTATAGTGATATACACTTGTGTTGTTCGTGGAGATACAATTTTGTACATCGATCTTACTCAACGTGGAGATTTTTTCTTTTTGAGTTTGGTATTCAACTTTTGTGTCAGAGAGCTGTGATTTCATATTTCCCCGACTAGGGGTGAAATATGACAATTAAATATGATCTTGTATTTTTTTCACACAAAAGCAAAAACATACTGATAAAAGTTACAAAAGATTTTCACTTTTAATGAATTGATTATTCTCCACTCTATCGATTATAGTATTTTATAAACTAAAAATTCTTACATAAAACTGATTAGGTCTGTCTTTTTTATTTGGTGGCTACTTTAATTTTTATCCTCACACTTTTCACATACTATTATATTATAAAGTTAATTCACTAAATAAATATATATAAAAAGTGTGGTTATTGTGGGTTAACCGCGGTGGGTAGTGGATAACCACTAACCACAGAAATTGTTATTTTACTACCCACACGCAACCCGCTACCCACAACTTGTGGGTATGGTTACCCACAATAGGTGCGGGTTGGTGCGTTTGCGGATTATCCACAACCTGCAACACAAACTTCCACGAAGCTCCATGTTTGTCGTCGATAAGGGCACCCGCAAGTCCCATAATATATTGTTCTGGTGCAAGCAATATGATTGGCTGTAGTCTTGACTTTAACTTTGATCTCCTCTGACTTGACAATCTCGTTAAAGGTGATGAAGTGGTCCTCTTCTGGATCATCGTGGCCCAGTTGAGTGACAAAGAAAGACCTGTTGAGTCATCACGGTGCTGCTGGAGATTCAGCCATGAAAGGTGTTCGGAGGGGATGACCACAAAAGGAACGATTGTTACAAAAATAATTGCCACTGCTGTGAGATAGTCTAATTAATTAATTTTAATATATAAAAGTCTAGGTTTGAGTCACTATTTATTAGTTACTCTCATACTTCTCAAGATCCTTGACCCGCGTAATAGTCGAAGGTGATTTCGAAGTGGTCGTCAAACAAGTTCGTCAAGGCGTCATAGAAGACTCGATTGGTGGTCCGGTGTTACAAGAGTGTCTTCAGATCCTTAGCTCTTTGTTTGTTTGTATAGAGTTTAGGACGGTACCTAGATCCGCCAACAGTGCTGCCCATAGAGTGGCGCGTAAAGCACTGCCTTTGTCTCGTTTAGAGGTAGAATCTTTTGATTTTTTGGGGTGGCTTCTTTAGAGTCTTTTAGGGGTCCTGGGTAGAATTGTAAGTTTAACTATTTTCCTCCATTGATATCACTCAGATAAAAAAAAAAGTGCAAGTGAGGAAGTTCCAAGTCCTTTTTTTTTACCTCACTCTCCATTCTACAAACTTTGTGTTTAGTTATTACTCGCTAAGTTTTCGTCTACTGTTTTTTGCACAAATCATCGCCTTTGTGTTTTGTTATTGTTTTCGTATATGATTTTTTGCACAATTATCCCCTTTGTGTTTAGTAATTGTTCGCTAGGTTTTAATCTATGACTTTTTGCACAATCATCGCCTTTGGCCACAATTTTGCAACCTATCTCGCAATACTGTCGGCGGAATCCTAAGTTGTTCCCCACCACCATTTCCCAAGGCCGCTACCACGATTTTTGTATCGTAACCGAGTTTCATCCTCTTTAGTGTTTTTTCTTTCCTTCTTTTTTTCTCCCTTTTTGTTGAGCATGATCACAATTGAACCTAAACACATGGGTATCCTAACTTGAATACAAATCATCGCCTTTGCCCATCATTTTGCAGCTCATCTCAAAATACTGTCGATGGAATCCTAAGTTGTTTCCCATCATCGTTTGCGAAGGCCGCTACCACGAGTTTTGTATCTGGACCGAGTTTCATCCTCTTTAATGTTTTGTACAAATCATTGCATTTGCCCACCAGTTTGCAGCCCATCTCGAAATAATGTCGACAGTATCCTAAATTGTTCCCACCATCGTTTCCCAAGGCCGCTACCACAAGTTTTGTATCAGGACCGAGTTTCATAATCTTTAGTGTTTTTTCATTTTTTTTTTCATTTTTATTGAGCATGATCACAATTGAACCCAAATCCATGGGTATCCAACCTAATTCGATCCAGTCAAAGCGACTTGAAACCGACTTTATCATTTATAAATTTATTTTTTCTTCTTCTTTTGGTTGGGAAGACAATTGGACCCGAATCTAAGGTTTTGACGAGTGTTGTATTGTGAGCGAGCTTTATCCGCTTTTGTAGTTGGTAAGTTGGACCAAGTGTTAATTTGTTAAAAAATTGTTCACTGCGAGTTGAACACGCTGTTGACCAGTTTTAGATCGAAAGCGAGTTTCGTACGCTTTAATTTTTTTATTTCTCATTTTCCTTTTTGTTGAGAATGACAATTGAACTCTGACCCATAGTTGACGCGTTTCGTATCGAGAGCGAGTTTTCTCCGCTTTTGTAATTGACAGGTTGGGTAAATTGTGAATTTGTTAAAACTGGGTCGACCAGGTCAAAGTGAGTTGAACGCAGTGTTGAGAGTTCGGCGTCATGAGCGAGTTTTATCCGCTTTAGTATTTTTTTTTATCTTTTTTCTTTTGGTTGAGAATGACAATTGAGTTCAAACGCATGGGTATACAACCTAATTCAACCCGACCAAAGCGACTTGAACCCGATTTTACAAGTTTGCGACGGGAGCGAGTTTTATTTGTTTTTGTAATTGGTGTGTTGTGTCAGGTGTGAATTTGTCCAAAACTCGGTCCAACCAGGTCATAGCGAGTTGAACCTTGGTTTGACTAGTTTTGAGTCGGTAGTGAGTTTTAGCTTTAGTGTTTTCATCTCGCTTTTTCCTTTTGTTTGAGAAAGACAATTCAACCCAAATTCATGGGTATCTAACCTAATTTGACCCGATCAATGCGAGTTGAACCTCCTCAAACCTGCAATCAGTCCAAAAATTTCATAAAAGAGAACCACGATTACCTCAAACCCAAAAAAAGAAAGCCATACCAATTGAAACATTAGCGTCATGAAAGAAGTTTAAAAATAAATAATATATTCGACGACCCCTCTACACTATGCAAGTTCATCGACCATATGCTATTGTAAGTAACAAACCTATGAAAAGAATGATTAACAATGAAATAAGATGACTTTCATTTTTGGGTCAACATTAAAATCATTACTTTTTAAAATATTTTGATTAATGTCTATATTTTATCCAAAACATTTTTCAGATTCTTTTATATTATCTAAACCTATCGAAACACTAAGAATTAGTCAAATGTTAACTTCTAGTAAGCAAATTTGTTAATAATATTGACTTGGCAATATGATAGTGACTTGGCAACATGATACTGACTTGGAAGAGACTCATAAAGGTCAACATTCCAAACTTTTAGTATTTTAACTAAGAAAAGAGTTACAAAAACGATAGCGTAAAAATGGCTAATATTTTGATGCATTATGAAAGATTTGGATAATTAATAAAATTTTAATAGATTTGAATAATAGAAAAGAATCTTAAAAAAGTTTTGATAGAAAATAGACATTATCCAAATATTTATCTTTGTTATACGCGAAGCGATAGCGAGCGAGTTTTTCTAAGTAATTTCTTAAAAAGACACCATTAATCATAACAGTTCTCTACATCAACTATTAAGTTTATCCTCAACAATTAATTAATTAGTATGAATGCTAGGAACAACAATACTATTATTGGGGGATGGGATTAGGTGCTAACCCTTATAGGGGTTAGCACCGTGATAACTAGCAAAAAACATTATGGATTATTATAAAATCAATACAACATCTAAGTTAAATCACACTAATTCAAACTAGTAGTAGTTTTTCTCTTGGTTAGGACGGTGCTAACTATTGTACAATTAGCACCGTAGCCGTTCCCTACTATTGGCGACTTGGGCGGCATAATGCATAAATGCATCATGGCTCTACTCAAAATCGAATTTAAAATGAAATAAATACAAGTCAATTAGAAGGGATTAAAAGTATCATCATAGCTAGCGAGGAAATGAATTAAAGAAGGTGAACTGGACCTAGATGTAAGAGAGCAGGAGGTTGAAGAAGACAATAGTATAGAAGGAGAGGGAGAAGACGGCACAAATATGCTGCCAGAACAGCAGTGCCGATGCCTCCCTGACCGCATACCCTCTCAAGCTCGCAACGGCACCCAGCAATATCGCGCTTGGCGTCGCGTACTGCAGCAGCAGCACGAATCGGTAAAGCTGGTCTCCGGCCACCAGCAGCCCCATCTCCTCCGCCGCCCACACCACTCCAATTCCCACCGCCGGCAGCACCACGAGCCTCGCCGCCACTATCCCCACCGTCGTCCTCGCCCCTAGGCTCGACTCGCTGTCGCTGGGGCCCTCCGCCAACATGCCCCCCAGCACCAGCATCACCGACGGCACCGCCGCCCCCGCCATCATCGTCAGGCTGTCCGTCACGAACCCTAGCGGAGCATCGCCGCCGTACACGCAGCTCCTCAGCGGCGGAATCAGCCCGATCACTACCGCCAGGAGCGACGCGATCGTGGGCGGCTGGAGGATGTGGTGAATTGGGGTTTCCTTCGCCACCACTCTGATTTTTTTCACCAGTACCCTCGGCTCCGCCAGGCATCTGATCGATTCCAATTGGTCTCTCGGATCCTCCATCGGGATTTCGGATTCGGAAATTGTGCTGTGGTTGAGAAACAGCCTGGCTATGAACGGACTCTTGCTGTGCTCTGTTCCCAATTGGTCCTCAATCCCCGGCCATTCCGCTTCCGCGAGTAACGGCCGACTTAAATCTGCGCCGCCGGAATCTTCAACCACTTCAACTATGTCTCCTCCTCCTCCGCCGCCGCCGCCGCCATCCTCGTCGCGAAACTCCAGCGCCGGCTCCATCATATGGTAAACCAGAGTGTACACCAGAATAACGGAGACCCATTGTGAAATTGAGACGTACGAGACGCCGTTGGAGTAGCAATCAGGTCCGAACGGGTTGTCGGAGCCCCGACGACGACACACTGCGCCGACAACGGCGAAGGCGATGTTGCCGGTGTTACCGAACCCGGTAGCTATAACGGTGAAGCGGAAGAACTCCGGCGGCGGGCGGCAAACTAGGGCGACCAGGCAGCCGAGAATGCAGCCGGCGGCCGTGCTGATGAGGACGTTGACGGGGATGAACCACCAGTGGATGGCTTTTTGGAGGGTGATGGATTGGCCGAGGTGGGTGAAGATTAAGCAGGGGAGGAAGAGGACGAATACGAGCCTGCTCAGAAGCTTGAATGTCTGCCTGGGAATGAATTGGGTTTTGGGATGGGCTAGAACGGAGCCGAATAGTGTGAGGGTGACGAGTTTCAGGAGAGGGAGAATCGAGGCCGCAATTTCGGATTTCACCTCCTTGCCTTCATTCATTGGAGACGCCATTGATTTCTCGTTTCGGTTTCCTGGAAGTTTGGATGAACGGGACGGGATATGTGTTGTGTTGGGGGGTTAAAGATTACGGGAGGGAGGGAGGGGAGTTAGGTGAGAGCAAAGAGGATGGTAGAAGTTTTCAGAATTGTGTTTCGTGTCCTCTGACCCCGCCTGAAACAGAGTAGTAACCCCGTTGGTGAAGTTCACGGGAAAAGAGCAACAGAATTTGGCCGATGTGGGCGTTGTTTATGGCCAATCATACACAACAACAAGCTACCAAATTGGAGAGGAAGATGACAGGTGGAGGGAAAGGGTAGAGGATGTTATTGCTCGATTTTTGTTAGCAGTGTGCTAACACTACTTTCAACTAATATAAACATTTTCTTAGAGAGGATAGTACTATGGGGCATGGGCATCTCCCTTGAGCGTCGTTGTAACGCAGCCCTCTTTTCTCTGTTTTGTAATTTTAAAGTTGTCAAATCGGTTTAAGTTATTGAGCCGATCAAGCAAGGGATTTGAGATTTAATGGTCTGATTGGGGTTCGGCTGGTTTGAGTTGTTTAAGATATTTTCTAAATATATATACAAATAAGGTAGTAATTAAAGATTTAATGACCGAAATAAAAATTATATCTTACATATATCTATTAAAAACTAATTTTTCACAAAATAAATCTACTTAATCTCCATGATCCACCCACCATCTCCCTTCCTTCGTTCCTCTTCCTCTCTCTTCTTCTCCCTGGGGTCAGATCAGGGGGCTTTCTGAAGGCTATTTTGAAGCTCGACTCGGGTCGGATCGGGTCCAACCGAGGGTTCGATAGGGGTTTAACAATCTTGGTTGTAATCCTTTGTCTGTTCGGCCTCGGCCTCCTTTCAATGCAAAAAAAAAAAAAATACAAACATTTGTTTTGATAATCTTTTTTAATTTAAAAAAATTGATCATAATTACCGAAAATTGTTAAAAAGAGAAGCACGCTAGTCATTATTAAAAATTGGAGGATGAGACATATGTGTATTGTGCATTAATTGAGAGAGTGGTGTATTAATCGAGAAGATCACAAACCAGAAACATAACAAACCACACAACAAATATGCCAGAAAGCTTTGAAAACGTACTAGAACCTCGCTAGACTACAAAATTCATAAAGCATACAAAATAACTTACAAAACCGTTCATAAAAAATTACAAAACATACAAACCCATGATCGTGGGTACCCGACCGCCCCCGCCCTAGTCCACGTGGGTAGGGGTGGAAATCGGAACGGTATCAGTATCCCAATACCAAATCCCGAAATCCCGAATACCGAATTATACCTTAAAATCTATCCCAATCCCTAAATAATTTCGGTATCCCAAACCCTAAATAATTTCGGTATCCCAATCGGTACCTCGGTATCCCAATCGGTATTATCGAATACATAATTAATTACATTTGTAATTAATAATTAAATTTTATTGTTTAATTTAGGGCAAAGAGACTAAACAAATAGGCTTGAGTTGCCTAGAGCTAACATCTCAAGTTCTTGTAATTGGTAATCTTTAATTTAACGAATTTGAGGTTGAGAGACGACTAATATTAGTGTGAAATAGTAATGTAATGATCTATGTATAATTAAATGACACTTTTGGTGGTTGATGGTCGCGTAGTAGTGAATGAGTTGAGAGGATAAAATACACACTAGCTTATATTTCGGTATTGATCGGTATTTCAGTATATACCGATCCCAATCCCGTAATCCCTAATACCGAATAACAATTGAAATTCAATCCCAATCCCGATCTCACAAAATAATACGTGTATTCAGTAATACCAAATATAGACAAATTCGGTATGGTATTCGGTATATCCCAAATACTTGTACCAAACTTCCAGCCCTACACGTGGGGAATCCCTATAATGACAGGGTATGGAGCCGGTATGGTTTTAGCCTCCCCGTCTCATACCCATACCTGCCCCACCAAGAATATTTCTCCACATATAAAAAATACATGGATAAAATTGAAACCTATCAATGATAGTGAAGGTAACTTGGGTAAATGCCACATTTAGTCACCGAGATTACTAAATCGTGTCATGTTTAGTCACTAGAAAAATTTAATATAAATTTTGGTCGATTGAATTACTGAAACTGGACACGTTTAGTCACTCTCCCGTTAGTTTCCGTCCAACTCCATTAATGGAGTTGGACGGAAACTAACGGGAGAGTGACTAACCGTGACATATTTCAGTAATTCGAGTGACTAAATGTGACATATTTCAATAATTCGAGTGACCAAATGTGACATGTTTCAATAATTCGAGTGACCGGAGTTGGACAGAGGCTACAGGAGAGTGACTAAATGTGACGTGTTACAGTAATTCGAGTGACCAAAATTAATATTAAATTTTTCTAGTGACTAAACATGATACGATTTAGTAATCTTAGTGACCAAATGTGGCATTTACCCGTAACTTAAGACAATATATAGTAGAAATGCAATTGAGTGACCACCCACATATGTGCCCCCTATGAAATTTAAGGCTCCAAATCCGTGGGCCCCACGAACTTGTAAATCCCACATATTGATGTAGGATTTGTAGCATGTCATAAATGCATAATGGGGTTTACCCATATACCCTCACGAACTTTTAAAATTCCAAATTTGCCCATACATTTAACTTTTGTACTTTATTAATAATCAATTAATTAACAACAAAGAAATAATATAAATATTCAATTAATGTGCAAATATGAGTTAGATTGTTTATATGATTTCTTATGTTGTAGTTTTCTTTGTCCTTTTCATAGAACGTGTAATTTTTTGTTCCCCGGTTATAATATATGTTGCTATATGTTACTTTTGAAAATAAGGACAAAATAATTGGTAACCGATATATGTTACGTTGAATGTTAAACTAAATTTTTCCGTTTATTATTATTGTCCTTGTGGCAACATTATGCTTATTAGTATGCATTGTTCTTATTTTGTGTACATATCATAAACATGACAAACAAATGGAAAATGATAGTATGGTAATTTCGGACTTTAAGTTCTAAATCCCAAAACATTAAATCCATGATAAAACATCTGAACAAACAAAAGTTTGTTACAAATCCATAATGCCTCAAATCATTGATAAATTCTTGGGTCTTTAAATTATAATACCCTAATTTTTAAATCCATGAAGCAAACGACCCCATTCTTTCACTTTTCACTCTTGTTACAAGATAATTATGTTAGTTAAGTATTATTTCGTAGATGTATTAGAGTTAGAAACTAACTGTTTGGAAAATATTATGCTCTATCTTATTGATTAATAGATGTTTTAGGATCATACGATTTGAATCGTATTAAGAATGATTGTATCTTTGTTAACTTAATGATATAGTAGATTTGTTAAGCGTTATAATTGAAAATTTAAATTCTATTTTACAAGAAAAAGATAAAAATGATAAGAATAATCTCTTATTCTCAAATAGTTTTTCTTAGAAGCTCCGAATTGTTATGTTATAAAAAGGGGGACAGGATACGGTGACAACCCCCTTGGGGGTTGTCAGATTCACAACCACCTTTGTGGCCATCAGATACGTTCTCTCTCCTGTCTTTTTCTTCTTTTTTTTTAAATTAATGGTTAAGATTAAACCAAGGGCAAATTCGGAATGGAAAACTTACCACATGAGATCCTTTCCATTTTCCATATAAATACTTTTTATTACCAAAAAAAAAAAAAAAACAGACCCTCCCCCATTCTCCTGCGTCTCCCTCCTCTTCCCCTCTCACATATCTCTAACAAAAAAACCCTAGCCGTCAAGAGCTCCACCACCGTCGCCGCCTCTGCCTCCCCTGCCGCCGCGCCGCTGTCCTCCCCTCGCGCCCCGCCCCGCCGTTGTCCTCCCCGCGCCGCTGTCCTCCCCTCCCTCTTCCTCTCCCGTGCCCACCGTTCACAGCCTGCTGTCCCCGCCATCATGATCGAGATCTACGCCGCCGCCTGGCTCCGCGACGTCCAGATCGGCTCGTCCGCGTTCTCATCAGCAACGTCCAGATCGACGTCCAGATCGTCTCTACACCAAGCTCTCTGCCTCCGACGTCGGCTTCAACGACCTCCTCGACGCCAAGGCCACCGCCGGGGGTGCGAAGAATCTCGATGAGAAGACCGCCAATGCTAGTGGTACCAATTCCTATTGGTACGATACCACTACTCACTGGTACGTACCAGTGGCTCCCCTACCACTACTCACTGGTACCACTATCATCTGGTACCACTATCATCTAATACCACTATTATCTGTTTTTTTGTGTTATTCTCTACTGGTACCGCTACCAATGCTAGTGGTAGCGCTACCAGTGCTAGTAGCGTTGTGTTATTCTCTACTGGTAGCGATGTACTGGTAGCGTACCACTAGTATTGGTACATTTTTTACTGGTACCGCTAGTACTGGTACATTTTTTAACGTACTGGTAGCGTACCACTAGCACTGGTATATTAATTACCAGTAGACTAATAGATTGGTACACTTTTTAACGCATTGGTACATTTTTTCAGGTTGCCGGAGGGAGTCTGCCGGAGAGAATTCGCCGGAGAAAAAGTTTGTCAGTCGATGCGGAGTGGCTGCTGGAGAAAGGAAAAGAGAGAGAGAGAGAGATAGATAGAGATATTAATGTATAAGATTTGAATTTCAGAAAAAAATTGTATTTAATATGGGTATTAAATTCCCAATATAATTAATACAAAAAAGGTAATTAATATATTCATTTTTTTCATACCCAAAATATCCTTGGTTGTGAATCTGACAACTCCCGGGTTGTCACCGTATCCTGTCCCATAAAAAGGTTTTGCCCTGTTTCTAGAAGTTGAGTTTATAAACGTGTTTGGCCCGAATCAAGTCAAGTCAAACAGAGGTGTCATCTACCAGTGTTAACAATCATTTCCAATGAACTATATGAAGACTTACTTTAGAATCTCATGAATAATGAAATTATGAACGACCTTTTAATAGGGTACATTTAGAATGACATCTTTAATAATGAGTTGATTAATGTCTTGTAGATACATTTCAGAATATCACATCCTGAATTATTGTAAAACAGAAATGATTTTTGTAGGTTTGATCCACTTTAAGTAAATTGCGGTCTTGATCACTTATTATTATTATTATTATTATTATTATTATTATTATTATTATTATTATTATTATTATTATAAAGACTTGATCAATGAATAGTTAAACTATCTTTCAAAGCCGTAATTAGTATTTTCATTTTAATGCTTCACTCTTTTTTTTTTATAAAAGATAATCGTATATTGATTGGACAAGGACCCAAGGGAAAAGTGCGAGGACTGGATAGCTGGAGTAGACGGTCCACCGACAGAAAGACCCACTCATGAACCTGTTGGTTAAACTGCCGCATCAATGCTGTGATGCTGAACTGTTTGTTCTAAAAAACTACCCAGTTACATGATCGCCAAATTCTCCAAAGAATAGCAATCACTGCCATGAATATAGATGGTTGATGTACCAAAGCCTAGGGGTGTACATGGGTCGGGTGGTCCGGGTTTAGGCATTTTAATCATCGGACTCAGCACTACGGTTTGAGAAATATTAAACCCAAATCCACCCAAAAAAATTTAAACCCTATGGTTTGTTTCTAATTGGGTTGGGTCGGGTTGGCGATATGTTTAAGTAAATACCCAACCCAACACAAAATATATAATTATTCTACACCATAAAATATTATATAACTAATTAAAAATTCAAACGAATAAACCGAGGTGAAAGGTATCAAAATTCACAAATGTTGTTTGAATTTTAATAAAATTTGATTTACTTCAATTTATGTCTAGTTTTTTTCACGACATTTGTTGAAATAGGCTAAAAAAGTTATAAATGAACGCATCGATAATATGTTATTTTATTAAAATTGTACACAAGAAAAAGAATTACATGAATCATAGCTATATTTATGTCTAAACTTTAAACCGAATAATACATTAGATTAGGGAGACTATGAGAGAAAAACATGACGAAATATCTTAATTGTCTCATAAGTATAGCTATATACGACATAAATATTTTTTTGGATACGAACTCATACTAATAATTGGAGCACGGGTTGGGTCGGGTTCTACAGGTTGTATAATCTAAAATCCAAACCCAACCCCAAAGAGGCGGGTTGTACAAAATAAAACCTTCACCCAACCCAAAACTTTCGTTTTAGTGATAAATACATGTGTGTTGGATCGTGTTAGACGGTTTACGGGTGTGTTTGTTCGCCTCTACCAGAGCCAACAAATTTTTCAGAAAAAACGAGAAGGTGTGGGGAGGCAAACCTTCTCCAAGGTATTCGAGGACAAGACAGATGAATTTTACTGCTTCAGTCAATCGGATGATACAGTATGAAATCGAAATGAGTCCAATCAAAGTTTTTCAGAGGCTGTAGAGAGTTGGGTGAGCCAACAGTCAACGCAAACACATACTTTCTGTGGACAAGAATGGAGAGAGTTGATACGTGCTAATTAACAATCCGAATGCAGCAAGCTACTTTGTCATTTTCCATATAAGGTGCAGAAATTTTGTTTCTTTTTTATCGAAGCAGAAATT